ACACATGGTGCAGCAGGTCCTTCAGCGCTTCCGCTTCACGTACTCCTCGCCACAGCCCACTCCTCTGGCTACCGGCCACTCGCTCTCAGCTCCACCTTCGGACGAGTCCGTAGAGCCGAGTGGTCCGTACCCAGAGCTTGTGGGCTGCCTCATGTACCTGATGACGTGCACACGACCTGACCTCGCGTACCCTTGCAGCCTTCTGGCTCGCTACGTGGCACCCGGCAGGCACCGAAAGGTGCACTTTGATGCTGCGAAGAGGGTACTGCGTTACTTGTGCAGCACATCGGGCATGGGGCTCGTGCTTGGAGGACGGGGTTCGGTGGTTCTCACAGGACACTCTGACGCCTCTTGGGCCGACGACCAGGCGACTCAGCGTTCGTCACAGGGCTACACTTTCAGTCTTGGCGCTGGTTCTGTCTTGTGGAGGTCCACTCGTTCTTCTTCTGTGCTTGGTTCCAATTGCGAGGCCGAGATCTACGCTGGGGCCATGGCTGCACAGGAGCTCCGCTGGCTGACCTACCTGCTGACCGACTTGGGGGAGCGGCCTCGTTCTCCTCCAGTTCTGTACGTCGACAACAAGGCAATGCTTGCCTTGTGTCGCGAGCAGAGACTGGAGCACAGAACGAAGCACATTGCTCTGCACTACTTCCTTGCGCGTGAGCTGCAGCAGCGTGGTCAGCTGCGCCTTGCTTTCGTGGCCTCTCGGGCCAACACTGCTGATGTCTTCACCAAGGCCCTTGAGGCTGGTGATCATCAGCGTTTCTGCACTGCTCTTGGGCTTGTGGCCACTCTGCCTCACCTGCTGGTTGCTTGACTTGCTCTTGTTGTACACTGCTATATATATCTTTATACCTGCATGTTTACTTTTGCTAGGTTGTAATCGGTGTACTGCCTTGCTATTATAAATCTGCAAGTGAACTGGCCTTGTGGTCGCCTGTTTGTGCTCAGATTGTGTGGTGTCCTTGAGATCCACCCTGAGCTTTGCCTTGTTTGTTCTCTTGCTTGACTGGTCTTGTGACCACTGTTAGGTTTGGCTATCCCCTACTTCACCTATGGGGGTGTGTCAAAACATATTGTTATGTTCTTACTCTAGGTTGTGTAGGGTCACACCTTAGAGGGTACATCCCAACTCTCTCGACATCCTTGTACCCCCTCCCTCTTACCTAATCGACACTCATTCCTCACCTAGGTAGTGATTCTAACACGTATGGCCTGCGCCAGGCCCGCGCGCGGCCCGTACGGGCTGCGTTAGGCCCGCGCGCGGCTCAGGCAGCCCGCGCGCGGTTCGTCCGGCCTGCGCCAGGCCCGTGAGCGGCCCGTACCGTCTGTCCCAGTGCCGCACGCCGTCCCCCGAGCTTCTGACCGCACTCCTGTGTTAGGGTTTGGGGGTGGAGAGTATGGGGGTGCCGTGTGTGTGAGCCGTCCCCTGCTCCTCCTCCTCTTCCGTCTCCCACTGCTGCAGCTGCCGCTGAGGGGGGTGGATGTGTTGGAGCCGTTGGAGTGGTACGAGGGGGGTGGCGTGTGAGCGTGGTTCAGCAGGGGGTGTGTGAAAGGGGTGTGGGACAGTTGGGGGAGGTTGACTGGAGGTAGCTGACTTGTCGTCCGCAACGCCTGAAGTCCAGAGAGCCACGACCCCCTGTGGCCGTGTAGTCCGGGGCTCTGCGCCCAGTAGCCACAGTGTGAGCACTCCTGGGAGCACAGTGAGCCAGCTGCGCCTGTCGCCGTGTAGCCCGGGTTTAGCCTGGTAGCGTTAGTGCTGCGCACTCCTGTTGCTCGTGTGTCTGCAGCTTCAGCCGTCGCCTCTGATCTTCTCGTCCTCCATAGTTTCTCCTCCTCCTCACTTGCCCTCTATGATAGCCTCTAGTTTTGCTTATCCTTGTGAACTATTGCACTGCCTGCTTGTTGTGTTTATTGTACCCCACTTTGACTATGGGGCAGGCCTCTTGATATCAGGGTAAATCACCCTTATGGCCCTTACTATAAGGGTGGGTTTAGGTGTTCACCCTGATTTTACAGAGTTGTATTTTAGGGCGCCCTTACAATAAAAAGTGAATTTTTGTGTAACACTGATATTTCAGACCGACCTGGTGTACTCGCCCTGATGACAACGAGTAGTGTTGGGTACCACCCTGATGCGATTTTTTAGGGGGGAGGGGGGTGGGGGGGGGGGGGGGGGGGGGGGGGGGGGGGGTTGATTCACCGACGTGATTTCTGCCGCGATTAGCGGCGATTTGCCCGAGTCACCAGAATTGCACGTCGCCAAGACCGCTCGCGTCGCCACAGCCACAGTCCCGCAACCTGTACCCGTACCACATGCATTTTGCCTGCCTGGCGGTGACACACAGCGCCACACAGGTGTGCATCGTCCAGGAGAGTCCTGCTTGGTCCCTTCCTCCCTCCCCACCAGACCCCCACCCACCGACCAGCCGCTCTCACCCAACCCCAACCCAGTCAGTTCATTTTATTCATCCAGTTTTCCTCCTCGTGGTCTCGTCTAGGGTTTGCAGACCACGCCTTCCTGCTGCTATTATAAGCATAGCTCCAGCATCTACCTCCAAGTCCCTCGTCATGGCTGTTGTCACCAGCGGTGAGGATGACGACGAGGCTCGTCGTCAGGTCCTGCACTCACCCTCATGAAAGGGCCTTCGCTTTTTAACAGTGCCTTCTAAGCGACTGCTTGAACCAGAGCCCGTCGTTGCCTCTACTGAGGCTGAGACCGCGCTGGCTGAAGCGGGGCGTGACGTGCACCACGACGCCTGAACTGACACCACGAAAAGCACAACACATGTAATGGAAAATACCGCTGCTGCTCACAACTGTGCTGCCAAGAAGCTGAAATCTGGTTCGTGTTCGGCACGGCAGAAGCGGCGGCAGCAACCTAAGTCGAGTTTCACTCGCGGGGCTCATACATACGGTAGCAATGTTCAATGCTGGCAAGAAGCGCCGCCCTGCTCAAGAGTTCCTATACCGTATTAACTTGTGCTCACTACTAAGCTTATTCTGTTAGAACCAGGCACTGGTGCTTTAGTTGCTCTGTTAGTTAGTGCCATCTTTAATATGTAATCCACGCTTAAGTCTAAATATGAAAGGGTGAAAACAATGTGCACACTGATGAGCAAGAGTACCTTTCCAGCTGACACTGATAAAAAAGACTGACATGGCTGACCCACCCTTACTGAAAGACCAACTTCAGCGAACTGGCCTTGCGAGTAAGAGTGCCCCAAATCCTATCCAGAGGCCTGCTATGGGGGTGTGTCAGAATGTCGATGTTTGTCTAGCCTGCAGTGGGGTACTCTATAGCGAGTACAACCCAATTAGGGTTTCCTATATGTATCTCAACTGCTGCTAGTGAAAACCACTCTTTCCTGTTTCTCGTTTTCGCCTGCTGTTTCGACAGGAGGCGCGTGATACGGCTCTATTACGGTCGCTGCAGTCCGCCCGTTTAGGGGATGATGGTGCTGCCTGTAGTGTGGCACGAGAGTGCGGGCATGATAAGGATTGAAGTTGGGAAAACAGACTTGCACACACCAGAGACAAGGCGGACAAGAGCAAATCGACAGGCAAGCCAACAAAATACCGTATACTCCCGGACAAAACACCCCCCCATAATTGTACACCCCCGGGTAGCTTGTGCGGGGTGGGTGTTATGATAGACCTCGTTTCTATTATACCCCCCTTTTTGGCTGATTTTCTATAACACCCCCCCTTTTCTTACGGATTCATTATTATAGTCGTTAACGAGTAGCTGCAATACGGAAGAATGTCGTGTGAATTTCTCCCTCAATGAAATTTCGCAGTACATTCAAAGGCAATCTGCCGAGATTTGCCCCCTCCCACTATTTCTCTGTCGCCACGTGCAGGTGAATCTTCCGTTGCAAGTGGCAAGAGAGGTGCCACATGCCATTTTCGTGGGGGCGATGAAGTTCGAGGCCGAAACTCACATTCGCGCCTCAGGCAGTGATGCTAAAACGACCAGCAAAACACCCACATTGACTAATTAAAAAAACACTAACACTAAGATATGCCATATGTAAAGACCCGGGTATTATGTATTTTTTTCCTATGAGGAGACCCCCCCCATTTTTTCCCTGTATTTTTAGCTATACCCTAGGGTGTTATGTCCGGGAGAATACGGTAAGAGTGCAGGCAGAGATGGAAATAGGTGCAGGCACAGGCACAGGCGCAGGCACAGGCACAGGCACAGGCACAGAAACCGGACCTTGTTCCAAATCTCGTGCAGGTGGACAGAAGCTCCAATGGAATCAAACGGACTCGGCAGCAAGGCTGAACAGGTACGAGGACACCTCGTGCTGCAGCCACACGTTCTCCTCTCTGGTCTGGCCGACTTTTGATTCGACAAAAAAGTCAAAGCGACCTGCTCACCTGGTTGCAAGTCTTGTGCCGGCAAACTGAACCGATCAAACGGACTCGGCAGGCAGGCCGAGCAGGAAGGAGGACACCTCGTGCTGCAGCAACACGTTCTCCTCTCGAGATAGATGGCCCCCGAAGTCAACCTGCTTGATAGATTCCCCCCCGCCTGCAGCAGATACTCGGCAGAAACACCTGCTGCTGAACGGCCATTCCTGGAGAGAGGGGCGGTGGGCGCGGAGGAAGCGTAAGGAGGAGAGTGCGAGATGGGGGTAGGGTGGGGGGAACAGGGGTGGGGAAGGGGAGGGGGAAGGGGGTAAAGCGTGGCGGCTACTCGGCAGAAATAGGGGGTGCTCCCCTGAAAGGATGGGAGGGGAAGGAAGGGGGGAAGATGTGGGTGGATGGCTGGTGGTGACAACCTATGTGGAGATGTGGAAACTCGCCTTTTTGCAATGGTGAAGTGAGGTGATTTGAGGTGAGGTGATATGAGGTGAGGTGAGGTGAGGTGAGGTAAGATTCGAACGATGGACGCGGTGTGGATGGTCCACTCGAACACACTCGGCACCTGCCAGAACCACTCAGCAACCCTGAACACCTCTCTCAACACCCCAGGGCACATAGGCATTTACCATTTTGCGGAGGGTGACGCAGACAATAGTTGAGGTGGGGATGGTGGTGTTGACCGTCCATCCAAACAGCTGCAACGTGTGCAGCAGCTGTGAGCCGTCGATTCGAATCGTGCAGACCATAAAGGCTAAGCACACACACATGACTGCCATGCTGAGCACCAGAACGGATGAAAAAACGATGAGAACTAAATTTCTGATGTTGGTGGAATGGGGGGGAGGGGGGGGGGGGGGGTTGTAGAAGAGAGGGGTTCAGAAGGGTGGAGCAGTTGAGGGTAGAAGGGTATTGGTGCAGGGGAGTGTTGGCATTGTGCACACCACAAAGGCTGAGCGCGCACACAGGGCTGCCAGTCTGGCGTCAGTGGAAATGCGAGACACGGAGGTGGGGAGGGGAGGGGAGGGACGGGTGGAGCGGGGGAGGGCGAGAGAGGATTGACGCTCAACACTGCCAGTCTGACGTCGGTGGATTGGAGGAAGGGGAGCAAGGAGGGGGGGAAAGGCGGAGCAGGTGGAGGGGAGGGAGGGGAGGAAGTGGGGAAGGACCCTTCAGGGGGGTTAAATCCGCCCATTGGCTTGTATATATAATCATGTCCTCCTGGTTGATAGGTCCCCTCCGCTATGAGTGATAATCGTGGTAAGCTTGAATGCTGCACACACGCTCAGGAGGACATGGTAACACTCATGGAAGGTGGGAGTGAGGAGGAGGGAGTGGGAGGCGGGAGGAGAGGAGGAGGCAGGGGGAGTGGGAAGAAATGGAAAAGGGGACGGTCGCAAGAGGAGGCAGGCGAACTAGAAGCATGCGGTGCACAGACGGATGCACGCACCACACTGCTCCCCACTGCTTAGGACCGCATGATACGTCCCCAACCCCTCCCCAACCCTTCCCAGGGTTCACAGCATGGGGAGACGAGAGCAGAGGAAACAGGCATGAAGGGTGGGAGGAATCCCAGGGGTATATGTTCGCCTATCCCTCACCACCCCTCACCATCCCTCACCAACCCTCACCACCCTTCTCTGGGCTCACAGTGTGTAGTGAGCGGGGGCAACAGGCACGATGGGCGGAAGGGGTTGCTGCTGCCCTGGGGGTTCACACCACACCGCTTCCAAAGTGCAGCACCCCTCAGCATCCCTCAACACTCCTCAACACTCGTCCTAAGGCTCACATTGTGCAGATAGCAGCGGTGAGCGGATCGATGTGCCTGATGTGCAAGATGTGCCATAGGATTGTGAGCTGCCCGGTGCACGAACCATCATCCAGCATCAGACGCAGCAGCATCCGCACGCCGAGAACACCAAAAACCTGCGCAGCATTGAGAGACAGGCAGGAGGAAAACATTGCTGGCAGAGCCATGAGAGCCATGAGAGCGGAGAGAGGAGACAGTAGTGAGGCATTGGTTGGTATTACAAGGTGGGCTGTGGTGCTTTGATGGTTGTGGTGCTTTGATGATTGTGGTGCTGTGATGGTTGTGGTGCTGTGATGGTGTGGTGCTGTGATGGTTGTGGTGCTGTGATGGTTGTGGTGCTTTGATGGTTGTGTGATGAGCAGCACTATGAGAGAAAGAAAACTACTTACTATGCTTGAAAAAGCACAGGTGAGCAGAAGTATTTTTTTCAGTAGGCATCTGGAAATGGCACCCGTCTTCACTCACATAGCCCCACCACACCAATCTCAACCCCACTGCACCCATCGCACCCACCACCCCCAGCACAGCCACCACCCCAATCGCCTGTACCACCCCCAACGCACCCACCACCCCCAACGCACCCACCACTCCTATTACTCGTACCACCCCCATTGCTCGTACCACGAAGCCGCACCCATCCCACCCCTGTCGCACCCATCCCACCCCTGTCGCACCCATCCCACCCCTGTCGCACCCACCACACCCATTGCCGTACCGTGAAGCCGAGCGCCGCTTTGGCCGGCTGGAGGGGCGGGATGCGGATGAAGAGAGCGGAGCTGGTCCTCTCCAGTAGCTGGGGGGGGGGGAGGGGGGGGGATTGGCGCAAGGGGGATTAGCACAGTGGAAAGTGGGGGGCGGGGAAGGGGGGATTAGCCCACTGGAGGGGCGGGATGCGGATGAAGAGGGCGGAGCTGGTCCTCTCCAGTAGCTGGGACGGAAAGGGGAAGGGTGGAGGGGGGGACGGGATTGGCGCAGTAAAGAAGGGAAGGGCAGGGGGAAGGGGGATTAGCCCAGTGAAGGGTCAGCAGGTGGATTAAGGGGTAGGAGCTGGTTCTTTCCAGTAGCTGGAGGGGGGTGGGGGAGGGGGAAGCGAGATTTGGTGCAATGGGGAACAGGGGATAAGCCTGGTGGAAAGTGGGGGGGTGAGGCGAAATGGCGCACCCTCCCGTGCAGCACAGCGCAGGTCAGCACCGAAGCAGAGCAATAACAGCGCACGCGGCACATCAGGGGAACAAGTGGGCAGAGGTGGTGCTCCATGTGGCATGCATGGGCGGCAGGCGGATGAAGAGAGCAGAGCTGGCCCTCTCCAGTAGCTGGCGGGGGAGGAGAGGGGGGGGAGAGGGGGGGGAGAGGAGGGGGAGAGGAGGGGGAGAGGGGGGGGAGAGGAGGGGGAGAGGGAGGGGAGAGGGGGGGGAGAGGAGGGGGAGAGGAGGGGGAGAGGAGGGGGAGAGGAGGGGGAGAGGGGGGGGAGAGGAGAGGGGGAGGAGAGGGGGGGAAGAGGGGGGGGAGAGGAGGGGGAGAGGGGGGGGAGAGGAGGGGGAGAGGGAGGGGAGAGGGGGGGGAGAGGAGGGGGAGAGGAGGGGGAGAGGGGGGGGAGAGGAGGGGGAGAGGGGGGGGAGAGGAGAGGGGGAGGAGAGGGGGGGGAGAGGAGAGGGGGAGGAGAGGGGGGGGAGAGGGGGGGGGAGAGGAGGGGCAAGGGGGAGCGGAGTGGAGGGGAGAGGGGGAGCGGAGGGGAGGTGCAAGGGGGAGGACAAGGGGAGGCAGGCGGATGAAGAGATGGGAGCTTATCCACGTCAGCAGCTGGGGGAACGTGGGCAAGGCTTAATGGGGGGGCCGGGGGCTACTATCATGACCGCAGGCCGGCAAGTATACAGGGTTAAAAAAAAAAGAGGAGAATAACCTGATGTGTGACATGCATTCAAGCATGGCATTCCAACAACCTGAGATTGAAACGACCCTTGACCATCGCCCCCTTTTCCTCTCCTCATTCCCCCCTCTTTCCCTCCCCCTTCCACAACCCTTCCCCCCCCCCCCCCCCCCCCCCCCCCCCCCCCCCCCCCCCCCCCCCCCTCCCCCCCCTCCCTCTCCCCCCTCCTCCCCCCCATCCCGCCCACCCACTGTTTTCCTTCTCTCCCGCCCCATGGGCGCACCACGCGCGTGCCAGCGGGCATACTATCGCCCAGCGAGCGCGACGGCTCGATCAACGGCGTCTCGAGATCTCCCGCGACTGGCGCCGCATTTGGCGCTGAGAAATTCGGCCCTGGCGCCGCCGCCGCTGCCGCCGCCGCCGCATGCGGAGGAGCGAGCGCTATGGAGAAAGGGGCGGCAACTGCTTTCGTATGGCCTGCGGCTTCCGCCATTGCTACTCGGGGGGGATGTGCGGCGATGGTGCGGTATGGGGAACGCAAAGCGAGGGTAGCTATTCGCAAAGCGACGAAATGGAGGGCGCAGGGCTGTGGGGTGAATTGAGAGGATAACTGCAAAGCACGAGAGACTATGGAGGTTTTGAAGAAATTGTGAAGTACACGACGTAAAAAAACTGGGGAGCGAAAAAATACTATTGATTGGGGAAAGTAACGGGGATTGGTCAGTGGTGGGGGGATAAATAGTATTTACACGAAGATGGGGACGTGGAAGGCGGAGAAACGGAGGTTGTTGGGGGAAAGGGGGATTGGTGGGGGAGAAGACAAGCGGGATGGGCAAAGTAAGGGCTAACGACCTTGACCTTGTTGACTTTTGGGAAATGTCATGCGCTGTACGCGATATTGACAGTGGACGCTGGCTCCGTACCCTCCAGAAACTTCTCAGGTGCCAATAATTAAGCATGCACAACATTGTGACTCTGCATTTAAAGGGAACTCTTTAAAAATGAGGGCGCCCAGATGCTATCGGCACAGCCACAAAGAGCGCCATGCAGCCATGAAGTGCAACAAAAAAAAGAAGCCCAGCAATGCATACAGTTACCCCTGATGAGCTACTTCCCCCAAGAGCATTCGTAACCCCCCATGTTCAACAACAAAAAAATATTCCACACCATTACAAGAGTCATTTCCAATCTGGCCCTCCCTGTTCTCTCTGGTAGCAAGATGGGACTGGTCATACCATGCAATGCAAGGCACGCCTTTCAGGGTAACCGCTGTGCGGGTGGGTGGAGGTGTGGTAAAACAATTCCAGGTCTGGACTCGGCTGGAACACTCCTCTATAATTTACAATACGAAGAGGTGTTTGAAGTGTAGACGAACATACATGCGGCATTTGTACACGGTAGGTGTGGATGTGTCGATGCAGGGAGGGAGACGCATGATACGGCTTAAATACAGTAGCTGCAGTCAGTTCCGTTTAGGGCATGATGCTGCTGCCTTGAGTTTTTGGACGTCTCAAAACTACGGTAGCTGCAGTTAGTCCGTTTAGGGTGTAATGGTGGTGGCTGCCCTGCAGTGTGACAAGAGAGTGGGCATGATACTGGTTGAACTTGGAAAACAGACTTGCACACACCGGACACAACGCTGACAAGGGCAGATGGACAGGCAAGCAGACAGCAGCAGTGCAGGCAGACCTGAAAACAGGCACACGCACAAAAAGCGACTGGCTGACCTGGTTGCAAGTCGTCTGCGGGCAAACAGGGAATCGGATTAAAACGAATCTGCAGCAAGGCCGAGCAGGTATGAGGAGACCTCAAGCTGCAGCCACGCACACCCCTCTCTGGCCGACTTTTGACTCTACTCACAAGTCAAAGTGACCTGCTCACCTGGTTGCACGTCCTGTGCAGGCAAAATGAAAGAATTCGAATCAAACGGACTCCGCAGCTAGGCCGAGCAGGAACGAGGACACCTCGAGCTGCAGCCACACACACTCCTCTTTGGAAAGATGCCCCCCAAAGTCAAGCTGCTTGCCGTCTGCTGCTGTGACTCGACAGAAATACGTCGTGCTGAAGCGCCTCTCCTGAGAGAGGGGAAGCGGCGAGGGGTGCGGGGCAAGGGGAGGTGATGCGAGGGAGGGGGTGATGCGAGGGAGGTGGTGATGCGAGGAGCTTACTTGCAGAGGGAGAGTAGCTGGATGGACGTGGTGGGGATGTTGGTGTCAATGCTCCATTCAAACACCCCTCAACACCCCTCCGCACCCCTCAGCACCTCTCAACACCCCCCCACTCCTTCCAAGGCTCACAGAGTGCTGACGGACATTTACCATTTTGCAGAAGGAGACGCAAACAATGGATGCGGTGAGGATGGTGGTGCGGGTGGTCCATCTGAACACCCTTCAACACCCATCAACACCCATTAACACCCCTCCCAGGGCTCACAAGCATTTACCAGTCTGCAGAGGGAGACGCGAACAATGGACGCGGTGCGAATGGTGGTGTGGATGATCCAATCGAACACCCCTCAGCACCCCTCATGACCCCTCTGAACCCCTCAGCACCCCTCTCAGGTCTCACAGCAATTTACCAGTTTGCAAAGAGACACTCGAATGATGGATGCGGTGGGGATGGTGGTGTCGATGCTCCAATCAAACAGCTGCCACGTGTGCAGCAGCTGTGAGCCGTCGATTCGAATCGTGCGCACCGTGAATGCTGCACACACGCTCAGCACTGCCATGCTGACGTGGACGGGATGGGGTGGTGAGTAGGGGAGGAGAGGGGAGGGGATTGGCCGCAGCAGGCATGAAGAACAAAAGGGATTCGGAAGGTAAATGTACCCACACCCTTCGCCACCACTAAGCACCCCTCAGAAAGCAGAAAGCAGAGGCAAGAGGCACGATGGGGGGAAGAGGTGTCTGCTCCCCGCCCCGGTGCCCCCGTTGTCAAGCATCAGCGGCAGCAGCAGCGGCACCAGCGCCAAGAGAGCACCCCGCACCATAAGCTTCAATATCCCTCGCCACCCCGTACCACCTCTCAACGCTGTTCGCAGGGCTCACAGTGTGCAGAGAGCGGAGACAACAGGCATGAAGGGCGGGAGGGGTTGGTGGTCCCTGGTGGGGCCACATCATACCCAACACACACACACCACACCGCTGCCACAGCGCAGCACCCCTTACCACCCCTCAACACCGCTCCTGGGGCTCAAAGTGTGCAGAGAGCGGAGAGAACAGGCGTGAGGGGCGGAAGGGGTGTCTGCTCCCCCGTGGGCGCATCAGCATCGAGCATTAGAGGCAGCAGCAGCGGCATCAGGCCGAGGAAAGCGAAAAACTGCGCAGCGAGGAGAGACAGGAGATGGAAGATGTGGGGCAGACAGGAGAAAGGCGTTGGTGACAGGGGCACGAGAGTGAAAAGCTGTGCACGGACGGACGGGAGACAGGAGGTAGGAGAAAGGTGCTAATCTGCACGAGGTGGGCTGTGGTGCGTTGATGCTTGTGGTACGAAGAGCACCGTGAGAGCCAAGAAAAGCTTTTGAGTCGACTCAAAAGTCTGCTCCCTCAGCTGTTGGGAATCGCATCGATGAGCAGCGAAAGGCTTTAAAGTCAGTTTCTAGGCATCTAGACTTCTCACCCCTGTCGCACCCACCACACCCATCACCGTACCATGAAGCCGAGCGCCGCTTTGGCTGGCGAGAGGGGCGGTATGCGGATGAAAAGGCCGGAGCTGGTCCTCTCCAGTAGCTGTGAGGGGGGAGATGGAGGGGGTGGGTGAGGATAAGTCGAGCGAAAAGGGGAGAGGGGAAGGGGGGATTAGCCCACTGGAGGGGCGGGATGCGGATGAAGAGAGCGGAGCTGGTCCTCTCCAGTATCTGGGGGGGGTGGGTGGGGGGGGGGTGTGTGGGGGGGTGGGGGGGATTGGCGCAAGGGGAATTAGCACAGTGGAAAGCGGGGGACGGGGAAGGGGGGATTAGCCCACTGCAGGGGAGGCAGGCGGATGAAGGGAGCGGAGCTGGTCCTCTCCAGGAGCTGGGGAAAAGAATGGGGAAGGGGTAAGGGGGATTGGCCGCAGGGGGGGAGATGGGGATTGGGCGGAATGGGGCAATGGGAATTAGCCCAGTGGAAGGGGGAGAGGAGACGGGGGGATTGTCCCACTGGAGGGCCGGCAGGCGGATGAAAAGACCCGACCTGGTCCTGTCCACTGGCTGGGGGAGGGGGGAAAGGGGAAAGGCGGGGAGAGGGTAGGGGATTTGGTGCAAGGGGGAGAAGGGAGAGGCAAGAGAGGGGGATTTGTCCAGTGGAGGGGCGGCAGGCGGATGAAGAGAGCGGAGCTGGTCCTCTGCAGTAGCTGGGGGTGGGGGAGTGGGGGGGATTGGCGCAAGGGGGAAAGGGGGAGGAGGGGCAAGGGGTAGAGGCAAGGGGGAGGGTAAGGGGAGGCAGGCGGATGAAAAGATCGGAGCTTATCCACGTCAGCAGCTGGGGGAACGTGTGCAAGGCTTAAAGGGGGGGCGGGGCCTACTATTACGGCCCCAGGCCGGCATGCATACAAGCTGGTTCATTAGAAAAATTGAGAATAACCCGATGGGGTGACATGCATTCAATAATAGCATTCCCCGAAACGACCCTTGACCATCCCCCCGCTCCTCTCCTCAATCCCCCATCTTCCCCCCCCCCCCCCCCCCCCACACCCTCCCCCCTCTCTCTCCTCTCCCCCTCCCACCCACTGATTTCCTTCTTTCCCACCCCCTCCCCCGCCCATGGGCGCACCACGCGCGTGCCAGCGGGCATACTATCTCCCAGCGAGCGCGAAGGCTCAATCAACGGCGTCTCGATATCTCCCGCGATTGGCGCCGCATTTGGCGCCGAGAAATTCGGCTCTGGCACCGCCGCAGCCGCCGCCGCATGTGGAGGAGCGAGCGCTATGGAGAAAGGGGCGGCAACCGCCTTCGTATGACCTGCGGCTTCCGCCATTTGCTACTCGGGGGGGATGTGTGGCGATAGTGCGGTATGGGGAACGCGAGGGTAGCTTATTCGTGGGGGTAGACGAAATGGAGGGTGCAGGGCTGTGATGAACTGATAACTGATAAGCAGGAGCGACTATGGAGATTTTAAAAAAGTTATGAAGTACAAGACTTCTAAGGAGCTAGGTAATAAATAACGAACAGATGAAGATGGGGACATGGAAGGTGGAGAAACACAGGTTGTTGGGGGAAAGGGGGGTTGGTGGTGGGAAGACGAGCAGGATGGGTTAAAGGCGGGGTGCAACTTCTTAGGAACAGTAGGGGGACAAAAATGGCATGTGAGTAACTTGAATTCTATTGGACGAAAAAACTGGAAAACCAGAAGAGGACAAACTTCTCGGCTCTGAACTGCCTGGGTCAACCTCTTCCAAGCTATAATACTTTGAAGTTGAAGTTGATAGTTGGGCCACGGCTTTAAGTGAACGGCTAAGACCTTGACGGTGTTGACTTTCGGGAAATGTCACGCGCTGTACGCGATATTGACAGCAGAGACATTTACTGGTATCAGTAATTAAACATGCAATTCTTTTTTTACTCTGCATATAAAGAGAATTCCTTATCAAAGAGGGTACCCAGATGCTGTCGGCACAGCCACAAAGAGCGTCATGCAGACATGAAGTGACTGGAACCATACTTGCATCAGATTCTCCAGGAAAGATGCCCAGCAAGGCATACTCCTGATGAGCTATCTATCTTCCACTATCGCAATCGCAACCGGTCGAAACCTATAATGTTTAGCAAAAAAAAAAAAACAAGTATGCCATCACTACAAGAGATGTTTCCGCTCTGGCCCTCCCTGGTTCTCTGTGGTAGCATGGGATAGTGTTTGCAGCAAGACGGCGCATGCAAGGCACGTCGTTCAGATAACCGGTGTGTAGGTGGCAGGCAGCTGTGGCAGATATGGATCTGGCTGGCACACTCCTTTATAATTTAGAGTACAAACAGGTGATTGTAGAACGGATACACATGCGACATTTGTACAAGGTTGCTGAGGTGCAGATGCGTCGATGGAGGGACGGAGGCACATGATCCGGCCTGAATACGGCAGCTGTCAGGCCGTTTATGGCATTATGGTGCTGCCTGCAGTGTGGGCATGATACGGGTTGAATTTGAAAAGCAGACTGGCACATGCCGGACACAAGGCTGACAAGAGCAGATCGACAGGCAAGCAGACGAGCAGCAGTGCAGGCAGACCTGAAAACAGGCACATGCACAAAAAGCGACCTGCTGACCTGGTTGCAAGTCGTGTGCAGGCAAACAGGGGATCGGGTTAAACCAAATGGGCAGCAAGGCCAAGCAGGTGCGAGGAGACCTCAAGCTGCAGATTCACACACCCCTCTCTGACCGACTTTTGAATCGACTCAAAAATCAAAGGGACCTGCTCACCTGACTGCACGTGTTTTGGCAAAAAGAAAGCAATCGAATCAAACAGACCCCGCAGCCAGGGAGAGCAGGTACGAGGAGACCTCCTGTTGCAGCCACAAGTTCTCCTCTTTGGATAGATGCCACCCAAAGTCAAGCTGCTTGCCGGCTGCTGCTGTGACCCGACAGAAATACGCCGTGTTGAACCGCCTCTGCTGCAAGAGGGTATGCGGTGAGAGGTGTGTGGCGCAGGGGAGGGGGGGATGCGAGGGAGGGGGTGATGCGAGGGAGGGGGGGATGCGAGGGAGGGGGTGATGCGAGGGAGGGGGGGATGCGAGGGAGGGGGTGATGCGAGGGAGGGGGTGATGCGAGGGAGGGGGTGATGCGAGGGAGGGGGTGATGCGAGGGAGGTGGTGATGCGAGGGAGGTGGTGATGCGAGGAGTTTACCAACTTGCAGAGGGAGACTTGCTGGATGGGCGTGGTGCGGATGTTGGCGTCAATGGTCCATCCAAACACCACTCAACACCCTTCCGCACCCCTCAGCACCTCTGAACAGACCACCCCCCCCCCCACCCACTCCTTCCAGAGCTCACGGTGTGCTTCAAGGCATTTACCATTTTGCAGAAGGAGACTCGAACGATTGACGCGGTGGGGATGGTGGTGTGGATGATCCCATCGAACACCCCTCAGCACCCCTAAACAACCCTCTCCACCATCCCACTCGTCTACGCAATAACAGTGCGTGGGCAGGCATTTACCATTTTGCAGAGGGAGACGCGAACAATAGACGCAGTGGGGATGGCGGTATTGATGGTCCAATCAAACAGCTGCCACGTGTGCAGCAGCTGTGAGCCGTCGATTCGAATCGTGCGCACCGTGAACGCTGCACACACGCCCAGCACTGCCATGCTGACGTGGATGGGATTGGAGGTGGAGGTGGGGAGGCGAACTGTGAGGCATCAGACAGGCACGTGAGTGGGAAAAGGAATTGAAAAAGGAATTGAGCATTCGTGGTACAGGCTCGTTCACATTGAACGCACCACGAATGCTGCACACACGCTCAGCACGGGGCATTGGCGGAATGGAAGAGGGATGTGTAGAAGAGAGGGGTTCGGAAGGGTGGAGAGGTTGGGGAGAAAGGGTATTGGCACAGGAAAGTGTATGTCTGCATCGTGTACACACACAGGCAGAGCATACGCTCACCACTGCCTGCTCCTCCCCATCCCTCCAGACCCCTCCCAGGGCTCACAGCATGGGGAGACGAGAGCAGAGGAAACAAGCATGAAGGGTGGACGAAATTCCCGAGGTATATGTGCCTATATCCCTCACCACCCCTTACCACCCCTCAACACCGTTCCGAGGGCTCACAGTGTGCAGAGAGCGGAGACAACAGGCGTGAAGGGCGGCAGGGGTGTCGGCTCCCCTGTGGGGTCACACACACACCACACCGCTCCCAAAATGCAATAACCCTCAGCACCCCTCCTCCTAAGGCTCACAGTGCGCAGAGAGCAGAGACAACAGGCATGAAGGGCGGAAGGGGTGTCTGCTCCCCCGTGGGCGCATCAGCATCGAGCATCAGAGGCAGCAGCAGCGGCATCATGCCAAGGAAAGCGAAGAACTGCGCAGCAATGAGAGACGGGAGATGGGAGGTGTGGGACAGACAGGAGAAAGGCGTTTGTGACAGGGGCACGAGAGCGAAAATCTGTGCATAGAGGGGAGAGAGAGAGAGGAGACAGGAGAACGGCGTTGGTAGGTAGGTGCAAGGTACAAGGTGGGCCGTGGTGCAATGATGCTAGTGGGATGAGCAGTACTGTGTGAGAGAAGCACTTTTGAGAATTCTCAAAAGAGGGATCCCATCATTGCATCTTTTCGGTGAACTTTTGAGACTTCACAAAAGTCATTGCATCTTTTCGATGAACTTCCCCCTGGTGATTGAAAAAGGATAGGTGAGCACAAGTGCTTTTCTTTCAGGCACATACATATCGCACGCAACTCACCCCCATCGCTAGCTCCACACCCATAACCCTCACCACACCTATCGCCCATACTACACCCATCGGCCATACCAACCCCATTGGCCATACCACCCCCATCGGCCATACCAACCCCATTGGCCATACCACCCCCATCGGCCATACCAACCCCATTGGCCATACCACCCCCATCGGCCATACCAACCCCATTGGCCATGCCACCCCCATTGGCCATACCACCCCCATCGGCCATACCATCCCCATGGCCCTCACCACCCCATGGCCCCCATCGGCCGTACCACAAAGCAGAGCGCCGCTTTGGCCGGCGAGAGGGGCGGGATGCGGATGAAAAGGCCGGAGCTGGTCGTCTCCAGTATCTGTGAGGGGGAGGAGGGGGGATTGGCGCAATGGGGATTAGCACAGTGGAAAGTGGGGGGCGGGGAAGGGGAGATTAGCCCACAGGAGGGGCGGCAGGCGGATGAAAAGAGCGGAGCTGGTCCTGTCCACTGGCTGGAGGGAGGGGGGAAAGGGGAAAGGGGAGAGAGGGTAGGGGAGTTGGCGCAAGGGGGAAAAGGGAGAGGCAAGGGAGGGGGATTAGTCCAACGGAGGGGCGGCAGGCGGTTAAGTAGTAGGTGAGCGGGTCCACACCAGCAGCTGCGGGAAGTGGGAAGTGGGCAAGGCGGAAAGCGGTTAGCGGCGGGTTACTATCACTCGCGCAGGCGCACAGCAGGCTGGCTTACTAGGGATTGACCTTTCAGGCGCCTCAAAAGACAGGCTGGCTTACGACTCGTTGACCCTAAACTGACCCAAACCTGACCACTAACCCAAAAGTAACCCTATGCTAGCGTCAAACCGATTTTAGGGTCAGTTATGGGTCAGTTACTTTTTGGGGAAGGAGGGATTGAGAATGGACCCTGAGCTGGTTGGTGGAATGGAATGCATTCAAGGACGGCATTCCAACAACCACACGACCCTTGGCCACCCCCTCCCCTCCTCTCTACATTCCCCGTTCCCCCCGGCCCTCCCCTCTTCCCCCCCCCCTTCCCCCCGCACCCCTCTCCCCCCCTCCCCCTCAAACCCCCCTAATGAGCGCACCACGCGCGTGCCAGCGGGCATACTATCGCCCAGCGAGTGCGACAACGGCGCCTCCATCTCCCCCGCGACTGGCGCCGCAACTGACGCCGCGACTGGCGCCGCCTTTGGCGCTGAGAAATTCGGCGCCGCCGCCGCCGCCGCATGCGGAGGAGCGAGCGCTATGGAAAAAGGGGCGGCGACTGCCTTCTTATGACTTGCTTCCGCCATGCCACTCGCGACGGGGTGCGGCGGTGGAGCGGGGTTACTTGAGAGGTGCGGCGATGGTGTGGTACGGGGAACGCGACTCGGGTAGCTTATTGAGTAGAATAGGCGGAATGGATGGAGCAGGGCTGTGGCGAACTGAAAAGGAGACTGCAAAGCACGATAATGTGTAGATATTTAAGAAAGTAGTGTGAATCATGACGCATGCGAGATTTGGAGAACTATATATGCTATAAATAACGAGCAGAAGCTAGGTGGAGAAACGGAAACTTGTTGGGGAGGGGAAAGGGTAGGTGAGGATGGGGATGGAGGGAATTCGGGGGGGATTGGGGCTGAATAGGAAGCACTTTGACCAACTTGACCCTCGGGAACTGCCCTGCTGGATAGGAGATGCCGTACTGTATACGCGATATTAAGAGCGTAGCTTCGTTCACACAAGGACCAACACTACCAGTGTTCTCATATATTTCAAAAACAGCTCTACAAATCCGAGGTTAGCAAAGACTCTCAATGGTCCACCCCGTATTTCAGCTATCACTAAAAGCACATCACAAATCCCACCCCACAGCATGCATCACACAGGGACGTGCGATTCCAGCTCTCGCGTCCAGTCATGACTCCAACCATCTTGCTCCTGTGCCTGCCTTGTCAACACAAGTCACAAGCCCACTTCCCCATCCTCCACGTCATCATAAACACGCAAGAGCGGTGTGACAGAACACTTGTATTGCATGCTGTCCCACACACTCCCCGCTCCTGTGCCTGCCTAGCCAACTCCTTCATGCACCCACTTCCCCATCCTCCAGATCCTCGTCTGCTCGCGAGCGGTGTGACGACTTCTTGGACTTGCTGCTGCGGTGCTTCCTCTCGCGCTCCTTGCTCCTGTGCCCGCTGTCCTCTGACTCACTGTCACTCTCATGGTCCTGCCACGCAATCAAGGAACAGGACAAATAGATGAGGGGGAATGTGGGCGATTCGAGCCTGCTTTTGAGTCGACTCAAAAGATGACGTGTCTCAAACTGCACACTCCCTGCTCCTGTGCCTGCTGTCCTCTGGCCCGCTGTCAGAGAGGCAGACAGAGACCCGTCCTTACCTTGCGGGAGGACCGCCGGTGGTCGCTGCTGCCCTTGCTACGCTTGGACCTGCGAGATTCTTTCTCATCCTCCTCCTCGTCCTCATCCTCCTCATCATCCCGATGCCTCCTCCTGTGCTTCCTCTCCTTCTCCTTCTCCCTTTCCTTATCGTCCTTCCCTTTCCCCTTCTTCTTCTCCTCCCTATCCTTCTCCTTCTCCTTCCCCTTCCCCTTCTCGTCCTTCTCATCTTTCTCTCGCTTATCCTTGGATCGACTCTTCTCCTTCTCCTCCTCCCTATCCCTCTTCTCTCGTTTCTTCCCACCCTTCTCCCTCTCTTCCTCATCCTCCTCATCCTCATCCTCACTCTCATCCCTCCTAGACCGCCTCCTGTGCTCCTTCCTCTTCTCCTTTGCCTTAGATCGTTCCAACTCCTTCCCTTTCTCGCGCTCCTCCCCTTCCTCATCAGACGCATCACCACTCTTCCTCGCCTGCTTGCTGCCCCTAGGCCTGTCCTCTCCCTCCTCTAGCTCTTCCTCCTCTCCCTCGCTCTCATCCGATTCCCCCCTATCCTTCCTCTTCTTCTCCCCATCTCTCTTCTTCTTGTCCTCAGCCCCATCCCTCTTATCCTTCTCGTCCCCTTTCGCCTTACCTTCTTTGCTGCCCTCTGCTTCCTTGCCCTTATCCTTCTTTGCTCTCTCCTTATCCTTGCTCCTCCTATCCTCACTTACCTTCTCAGAATCACTCTCACTCTCCTCTCCCTTCCTCTCCTTGCCTCTCTCCTTTGCCTTCTCCTTCTCCTTCTCCCGTTTCTCCTTCTCCTTTTCCTTATCTTTCTCTCTCTCCTTCTCCTTCTCCTTTTCCTTTTCCCTCTTCTCCTCCTTTTCCTTCTTCTCTCTCTCCTTCCTCTTCTCCTTCTCCTCTTTCTCCTTCTCCCGCTCTTCCTTCTCCTTCTTCTCCTTCTCCTTCTTCTCTTCTTCTTTCTTCGCCTGCAAATCCACAGGCACAGGCACAGGCACAGGCACAGGCACAGGCACAGGCACGGGCACGGGAACAGGCACAGGCACAGGCACAGGCACAGGCACAGGCAAGAGGGAGAATGTAAGATGAGGTGGTAAGGTGGTAACAGAAGGAGTTGAGATGTGATGCGAGAGAGGGGAAGAGGAAAGAACAAGTGGAATCACAGTGGAAAGGAAGGAAAGAGGTGAAGGAATGCACAAAAGGCAGATGTGATAGCAGAATCCAACCAAGGGACCGTCCCACAACAGCCTACATAGCGACACTTAAGAACTCAACTCAATGCTTGAATAAAAGAGCAGTGCAACATCATTGAGGCAAGACCCTCGAACTCATCACCTTCTCTTCCTTCTTCTTCCTCTCCTTCTCCTTCTCTTTCTCCTTCTCCTTCTCCCTCTTCTTCTCCTTGTGCAGCAGCCGAGCCACATGCTCCTCCACCACCTTGCGCCTCTCCGCCTCCTCCGGTATCGCCCTGTCACACGCACACAGGGACAAAGGAAGAGGGCGAGTGAGCGGTGGCACACAAGTGAAAGCAGCCGAGCCATGTGCTCCTCCACCACCTTCCGCCTCTCCGTAAAACACAAATGGAGAGAGGGGGGTCGCACAGAACGTCAGCCAGGTGCATTTGAGTCGACTCAAACCACACCGGGAGAGAAAGGCACACACGTCTCTGCAAAGCACGTCTCAAAACGAGCCAGTGGGCGGTGCTATTGCGCTACTACCATGCACTTGACTTGTATTTGCGCAGCACACTGCTACAACACAATACAAAGTCCATGAAAACCCTAAACATATTACCACAACACACAACCACGCACTTGTATTCTGACAGCGACTGAACGAGTGGCTTCGCCTCATCCCACGTGGTGCTCCCAGAGAGCCCCTTGACGCCCCTCAATGCGTCCGCAAGGTCCTCTGCCAGCCGCTTCTTGCGCCGCGCCTCCTTCTCCTCCCTCTCCACTGCCCGCTCCACCAGATCCTCCCACACTATCTGGTTACCACGTGACGGTGGTTACCATGCATTGGTTTCCACAACGTTCATTCGATATCAATCGAAACGTTTTTCGCCGTGTTGTATTTTCCCGGAAGTTGCGTTGAAAGAAAGTTGTGGATGAAAGAAAGAGAGCATGGATTCAAGGGAGCATGGTGTGATATAGAGATGAGAGGAGGTGATGGTGTGATGCGAGAAGATGCATAGTATGATTGGTCGCAAGAGGGCACACGTTATTGCGCGCGTGTGCAAGCACACGGGCACATGCACATGCTGCCACATAGGTTTACATGCACGCACATGCCATGTCAAACCAAAGAAGCCAGATCACATGCACTCCCACCCACATGCCAGCCAACATGCAGCAGACAGCACATAATCAGCCAAGGACACACACACAACGAGCAGTATCCCACCGAAGCAGCAGTCCAACGCACCTAGCCACAGCACACCACACACAGCACAACAAAGGAGGGGAGGGAGGGGAGAAGCAGGACGAGGAGAGAATGAGTGACTGCATTGGGTGAGGGGAAGGATCACGACAAGCAATCCTGAGCTCCAAAAAGCGCCACAGGTATTAGATGCATACATAGAGGCACAAGAAGCATGATTGCTCTATAATAAAAAGGTGGAACGAAAGAAGGAACAAAAGATAGAAGGAAAGAAACAGAGAAACAATGCTACAGGAACGGAGAGATGAATGTGAGGTGTGTGGTTTTGAGAGAATTGAGGAAGCAAAGGGGATTGGAGGTGGGTGAAGGCGGGAGGGGGGAAGGGAGGCAGGAGTTAAGAACTGAAAACGGGGAGAGGGGATGTGGTGTGGGGAAGGGTGGAAAGGCAGCAGATATTCTCGCATGCAAAGACACGCCCAGTGCTCCTGCTGCAATATCTCGCTTATGCCTCCCATTCAATCATACCCTTACCTGCTGGTTACCCTATGAAAGGACTGTCCTCGCTGACGAGTGTTGATGTCGACCCGGGTTGCTCAATGTACAGACAAAAGATGCCCACCAGGAGTCATCATTGCAGGCACTTGTGGTGTGGCAAAACGCACAGGTCTTACAGGGTGTGTATATCTCATGCGGTACTGAGTGGTTGTGAGGGTGAGTGTGGGTGACTGTGACTTTCCATCATGCCCTTGCGACTGGCTCAAGGGCAAGGGCCTTGGCACAGCAGCGGCATGGGGCATGACGATAAATGGTGGCTGAAAGGTAGGGGAGAGGCTTGAGGACGGGGAGGAGGAGAGGAAGGGAGGAGGGACAGCAGGCGCAGCGGGGCAGGGGACGGCATCGCACCTTGAGGCTCATATCGGCGACCTTAGGAGTCGACTCATCAGCTTTCGGTGGCAGCGGTGGCGGTGGCGGCAGCTTCACCTCCTCCTTGCCCTCCTTGCTCTCCTCTGCCTGCTCCTCTTTCTTCGCCGGGCCCGCGCCCTCCTCCTGCTTCACTGCCTTGTCGCCCTCCTCCTGCTTGACTGTTGTCTTGTTGTCCTCAGCAGCTCCCGCCTCTCCTCCCTCCTTGCCCTCCTTCTGAGGCTCCTCCTTCACCTTCCCTGCCTCCCCCTCTCCCTCCTTCGCTCCCTCCTTCGCTCCCTCCTTTGCTCCCTCCTCTGTAATTCCGTCTTCCTTCTTCACGCCCCCCTCCTCTTTCACTCCGTTCATCTCCACATCTCCCTCCTTCCCCTCCTCCTTCGCCTCCGCCTTTACTGCCGTGCCAGCACCAGCATCGGGAGCAGCAGCGGGGGGAGGCGGCAGGGGAGGCGGAGGGGCGTAGCCCAGAGCAGCCTTGAACGCCTCGAAGGTGGTGGCTGACGTCACCACCACCTGGGGGGGAAATCGCGGAGGGGAGGAGAAAGGAAGGAGGGGAGGGATGAAGGAGGAGAAAGATTGGGGAGGTGGAGGGCACGAGAAATCGGAGAGAGGGGGGTAGGGTCAGGGCGAAAGCAAGTCAGGGGCTCACTGTTGCGGGGTGCAACGATTGTGACACACGAATAGGGGATGAGTTAGAAGGCAGTAGGGGAAGATAGATGAATGGCTTGGATGAATTACATAGATAGGGGGGTGATGGGATCAGAGGTGACGGAGTCGGGTGTAGGGTTTAGCGCACGTATGGCTTGGCTTGGTAAACCACTTGTTCTAGATGAGGTCCACCCCACCAAGAAGCGCACCTTCTTCTTGATGAGTCGTGTGCCATTGTAACGAGGTGACTTTTGAGTCGACTCAAAAGGGTTTAGGGCACGTATGGTTTGGTTGGGTTAGAGCAGCAAGAAGCGCACCTTCTTCTTCTTGATGAGGTCCTTGATCTTGTCCTTGTCCTCCTTGTCAGAGGACAGGTGGGGTGGGGTGGAGGCCTTACGTGCTCTAGCCTCGAGGACAACGAGACGAGCCCCATGATTACTACAACGCACCTTCTTCTTCTTGATGAGGTCCTTGATCTTGTCCTTGTCCTCCTTGTACTGCTCACACCATGACGCGCACCACCGTGCAATGCCACACACAGGAGGAATTACAGCCCAGCACGGCACGGCACACACCACCATGCACGCAACACACAAGAGGAACCAGTAAGGCACGGCATGCAGGGAGCAGGAAACACAATCACGGCACGGCATGCACGCACGCAGCAGAAAGATTTAAACACACGGAGCAGGAAGGAATAGAAGGAGTAAAGGAGAACACGTGAATCAATAGGCACGGGAAAGCAGCAGGCAGCAGGGGCAACAGCAAGTGGTGAGGGCTGCAAGTGGGGCGAAACTCCCACGGGAGAGCACAACAGGCGACCTTGCGTGACAGAGCCCGAGCAGTAGCAGCATACTCACTGCAGCCTTCCCCACTGGCCACCTTCCCTAGTACCCACCAGTCCCAGCGGCGCCCACCTGCTTGTCTCTGTCATCAACGGCGTCCTCCAACAGTTGGGCGTCGACCCGCCCAGGTTGCACCTACCAACAACAACCACCTTCAGCAGTTGCCACCTGCCCCAGTACCGACCTCCCCCTCCAGCACCCACCCGCTTGCCACCTCCCCCACCTGCTTGTCGAGGTCGTCAATGACATCCTCAAAGAGCTCCTTGGGCGTTGACCCGCCCAGGTTGGCTGCTACTGCCATGTACGCCGGCTCGTCCTTCACCTGGTAGAACAGAGGGAGGGAGAAAAAGAGAAAAGAGGGAGAGGGGAGATAGGGAGGAAACCGAGGAGTTTGAAAAGTTGGAAATGCAGGAGGAAGAGGAGGAATGGGGACGGAATGGAATGCAGATGGAATGGGTGATAGAATGGGGGAAACAAATTGCCATAGGAGTGAGTGTGACGCGCTGCCCAAGTACAGCAGGAGGGGACGGGAGCGGGTGGGACGAGACAAGCGCAAGTCACAGGAAGGGGCTGGGAAGGGGGGGAGGGAGGGGGAGGAAAGGAGGTGGCAAGTTTTGACACCCAACGGAGGAAGTTAGAAGGAATGACGACCACCACATGGCTGGGCTCGTGAGCAGGAAGAGGAGAAGGGGGGAAGTGGGGAGGGATAGAGTAGATCCACACATACCACGTTGACATGGGAGGGATAGAGTAGATCCACACATACCACGTTGACATGGGAGGGATAGAGTAGATCCACACATACCACGTTGACGTAGTCGCGCCAGCGAGTGCGAGCAGTGAGGGTGAGCGCCGCCTTGTGCTCGTCCATCAGCCGCCGGAAACCATCCCGGTTCTTGCGCTCCTGGCGCCGCTGTTGCTCCTGAGGAGTGGGGGGTGAGGGTTGGGATGTGGAAGGGGTGTGGGAGGAGGGGTGGAGTCAGGGGGGTTCAGTGGAGTGTGACATAGTGACGACTTTCAGAGATGGAAGATGCTGATGCACGATGATGGAAGTGCACTAACGGGGATGGGGTGTGCTTGAATTGAGTGGTGAACTTACCCTCTTCTGCTGCCTCTCCTCGTCCTCCCTCCTCTCCAGCTCACGAAGGAATTCCTGCCAGCACCCAGCAGCACCAAACAACAGCCAACAAAGGACAAGAGCAGGGAGTGACGGAAAATGAGAAAACATTAGGCAGTGAATAAAATGGTCAAGAACGAGACGCGATTTGCGAAGAGCCTGCGAGTAAACACTGGTTTGAACCGGACAGGACTCAGGTCAGGACAACCCAAAGGTGGAACGGAACAGATTAGGGTTCAAGACCGCCTCAAGCACACACCTGGAAGACCCGAGCACACACCTGGAAGAGCTGAGCGCCCACCTGGAAGACTTCAAGGCGGTCGATCTTATCGAGCTTGGCGCAGCTCTCATGCTCCTCCACCCGGTCCTGCACCTTGCGGTAGTGCGTGGCGGACTGGAGCAAGGGAGGTGGGGAGGAAGGGGGTGAGGGAAAACAGAAAGAGAACAACGCCCTGAGTCCTGACGGCCTGGCTTGGCGCAGCTCTCATGCTCCTCCACCCGGTCCTGCACCTTGCGGTAGTGCGTGGCGGACTGCAGACATTGCGGGAGGTGGGAGGGGTGGTAGGAGAGGGGAGACGACGGGAAGAGACGCGATGGGAGGGCTGAGGCCGAAGCAGGAGATGGGTCCCTCCCCCTTCCACCTCTCCTGCTCCTCCACCCGGTCCTGCACGTTGCGGTACCGCAAGGAAGGGGGAGCAGCAAGGAAGGCAGCCGGTCATGCACCAACACTCTCCCAAAGCAGCACAGAACTCAAGACAGAGCGAAAAGGCAGCGCAGCACTCACGGTGACATAGGCGCACGTGTGGAGGTGGTGCTTGAACTCCGCCATGTTGCGCTTCCTCTCCTCCCTCCCTCGGCCCTTCTCCTGCCCGCCACAGGTCGCAGTGGGGGAAGGGACGAAGGAAGGAGTCGTGTGAAGCCCATGAGAGGTGGGGAACTCGGGGGTCAATCATTGACGACCCTCAACAGCTTCCACTCCTCCCTGACTCAGTCCAGCTCTTGCCACACAGCAGGAGCAACGGGGGGGGAGGGGAGGAGGGGGAGCAAGTCAATCTTGAAGACGCCTAACATATCGTTTCTCTAAGAAAAGGTTTCCTTGAGACAATGTTGCCTGTTGCTGGCCCCCCAATGCGCTTACAAAATCGTTGCATTGACCACCGATTCAGGGCAGGAAGGCCAAAATTCCGCCAACGGGACAGTCAATATGCAGTCAACCGTCAACACAAGGTCAACGCAAGTCAACATGGGTCAACAGGAGTCAAAACTCACCTTCTTGACAAGGTCAACGAGGTAGTCCTCAAAGAGCTCCTCCCTCTCCCTCTCCGACTCCACAGCGAGTCAACACAAGTCAACACCAGTCAACGCGAGTCAACAGGAGTCAGCTCACCTTCTTGACGAGGTCAACGAGGTAGTCGTCAAAGAGCTCCTCCCTCTCCCTCTCCGACTCCACCGCCACGCACCGCAGGTCCTTCTCAAACAGGGGAGCCGCTTTCCTGAGGGGAGTGGGGGAAGAAAGGGGGTGTTGCGGGAAGGGAGGCGGAGGTTGGTTGAGGAAGCACACCAGCAGGCTGGGATGGGGATGAGCACTAGAGGAGCGGCAGCAGCAGGTGGGAGCAGCACGGATGCACACTTCACTTGTGCGAGCATGATCAAGGTGTGTGCCTTGCCACTACCAAGATCACAAAAGGAATGACTCACTGCCAGCGCAGCACAAATCACTGCCAGCTCAGCACAACCCAGTGCCAGGTCAGCAGGAGTGACTCACTGCCAGCGCATGGAGGAGGAGAGGTCCTTGGACTCGTCCAGCATGGCGATGAAGTCCTCGCGCACCTTCTTCTGCCGCAGCCGCTTCTCCTCCGCCTCCTGCTTCTTACGCTGCGTTATGTACTGTGGACCAGGGGGGGGATAAGAAAAAGGAGCGGGAAAACAAGGGAGGACGAGTACGAGTGCTTCAGTGGCTTATCCTCAGCCTCCTGCTGCGTGCGCTGCATCAGATACTGCTGTAAGGAGCAGTAGGAGGATGACAAAAAGGATGGGAGATGCACTGAAAATGCAAAGACTACCGTGGTTCAGCAGGTGCAAGCGGAAGTGTGAAGATAAAAAATTCTCGCTCTAACCACCACACACCACACACCTCGTTGAACGCCTGTTTCCTCTCCCCCAACGTCTTGAGCGTGCTATATCGCTTCGCATTGATGATTTTCCTCATTGCATACTCCCAAATTCCCTCTGTCACTCTGATATCACCCCACCCAACTGTCATGCCTCGCTTGCTCCCACACGACATGCCACATACCTCGTTGAAGGACAGCTTGCGCTCCCCCAGCGTCTTGAGCGCGCCGTATCGCTTGTCGTTGATGATCTTCTTCATTGCCTGATATCACGTGCCCTCTGTCACTCTCATGCCACCCCCACCCCCTCTCATGCCACCCCCACCCCCTCTCATGCATCGCTTGCTCCCACACTACATGCCACATACCTCATTGAAGGCCTGCTTCCTCTCCCCCAACGTCTTGAGAGCGCCGTATCGCTTGTCACTGATGATCTTCTTCATCGCCTGATCCCACGTGCCCTCTGACGTCACCCCCACCGCCTCCAGCAGCTCCTTAAACGCCGCCTTGGCCTCCTGCCAATGGTAAAGAGGGAATGTGAGATCAAGGGAATGAGAAAGGAAGTGAGTGGGAAGCAAGTGCGAGGAGGAAAGAACACGGATTTTCACGACAGTGAGTGATTGCAGCTCCTTGCACGTTGCCTTGGCCTCCTATCATATGGTGAAGAAGGAATGAGAGACAAAGGGAATGGGAGACAAAGGGATGAGGGGGAAAGGGGATGAGAGGCAACGCAAAGAGGAGAGTGAGAGGCCTTTCACGACCCCCAGCAGCTTCATAGCGACGGCTTCGCCTCCCGTGGGTTGAAAGAAGAAGGACAGGCAGGCAACGCGAGGGGGACGCGAATGAGAGCAGGGGAATGAGGGCAGGAGAATGAAGGGAGGAGCATGAAGGCAGGAGCCTGGGATGAGAGCCTAAACACCAAAACACGAAACCTTTAACCTAAACACTGGACCCTGACGCACCTGCTTGGTAGCATAGACAGGCTCGCCCACAGGGGCGGGAGGCGGCTTGGGTTCCGTGATGGGCGTGATGTTGATCTTGCTCACTCCTGGCGCTCCCTTGGCCTGGTCAAGACGAAGTGGACAGAAAGGGAAGGTGGAGGGCCGGGGGATAGGAAATGGAACAGGCGGGATGGATGGGTGTGATGTTGATCCATCGCTGGTGCTGTCTTGGACAGATTGACGGGTTGAAGGAAAAAGGGGATGGTAGAGAGGATAGGGTGCAGGAAGAAGGGTGACCGGTTACAGGGGTGATGGGCGTGAAGCTGATAGATGCATTGATGAATTTCTCGACCAATATATGTGGCTCTCTATTGTCCAGTAACTTTAACGTGACGTGATGGGTACACTTTATGAACAAGCCAACAACTACGTGTTTGGAATTTCAATTTGAGGGTCTACAAGTGAAACGCAAGTCTCAGCCAACCACCATACCACACTGTACGCCTGTACACCGCACCACACACACCTCTGCTGCAGCTTGAGCTGGTTGTGCCTGTGCCTGTGTGGGCGCAGCAGGGGGAAGCGGCCTGCTTGCAAACAACAGAGGAGGAGGGAGGGACGGGAATTGAACGGATTGGGCATGTGCGACAGCAGCAGCAACTGGGAGAAGAGGAGGGGGAGGGAGGCACAGGAGTTGAGTTGAGCGAATTGAGCATGTGCGACAGCAGCAGAGCAGGGCCAATGTGCGAGCTAGGGAGAGGAGAGGGAGAAAGGGACGGGAGCTGGGCGTGTTGGGCTGCACTGCACTCCCCTGTGTAAGCAGCACTCACGGGGTCACGGCAGCCATTCCAGGCGCGGTAGCAGCGGCAGCAGGCAGAGGAACACCAGCAAGCGGCACAGGGGAAGCACCCAGCGGCCCTGCGCCTGGCACCAATGGCGCCATCCCTGGGAGAGGAGGCGTGTACGCGTAGGCAGCAGGAGGTACAGCTCCTGGTGCGGCGGTGGGTGGGGGGACACCTGGCAGGGGGGGCACCACACTCGCCATTGCTGCTGCTGCTCCGGGTGCTCCTGGCATGACTGGTGCTACTGGTGTCACGGGTGCTGCGGGGAGAGCAGCGGGAGCGGCAGCAGCGGGAGCAGCGGCAGCGGCGGCGGGAGGTGCGGCTGTGCCTGCCGCTGCTGCTTGTTCTGCGGCAGCCCTCTCCCGTGCGGCCTGCAGGCGGGAGAGGGAGACACGAGAGTGCATGAGGTGAGGTGACGTGCAGACACCAACTAGCAAGGGTGCTGCTGCTGGTGCCAGTACAAATACAAGCACTGTCGGATGAGCAGCAGCAACAGCAGCAGGAAAAAAGAAAAGAAAAGAAAAGAAAGAAAAACTGCTCATTGGGTCACAGCTGCTTGACAAACCCAGCCTACCACAGTGGCTGCGCACCTTGAGGTCAGCGGGGATGGTCCACGTGCTCTGCTTGGTGATCTTGTTGAAGAAGTACTTTCGCCCCTCTGCTGTCGTGAACTCCTTCCACACTGTTGTCGCATCCGCACGCTGTGAGAGGGGGCGCAAAGGGGAGAGGAATGAGGGGCGTTGCACTAGCTACTCGCACTTGCGCCCCTCCGCTGTTGTCAACTCCTTCCACACTGTTGTCGCATCCGCACGCTGTGAGAGGGGGCGCAAAGGGGAGAGGAATGAGGGGCGTTGCACTAGCTACTCGCACTTGCGCCCCTCCGCTGTTGTCAACTCCTTCCACACTGTTGTCGCATCCGCACGCTGTGAGAGGGGGCGCAAAGGGGAGAGGAATGAGGGGCGTTGCACTAGCTACTCGCACTTGCGCCCCTCCGCTGTTGTCAACTCCTTCCACACTGTTGTCGCATCCGCACGCTGTGAGAGGGGGCGCAAAGGGGAGAGGAATGAGGGGCGTTGCACTAGCTACTCGCACTTGCGCCCCTCCGCTGTTGTCAACTCCTTCCACACTGTTGTCGCATCCGCACGCTGTGAGAGGGGGCGTAAAGGGGAGAGGAATGAGGGGCGTTGCACTTGCGCCCCTCCGCTGTTGTCAACTCCTTCCACACTGTTGTCGCATCCGCACGCTGTGAGAGGGGGCGTAAAGGGGAGAGGAATGAGGGGCGTTGCACTAGCTACTCGCACTTGCGCCCCTCCGCTGTTGTCAACTCCTTCCACACTGTTGTCGCATCCGCACGCTGCAGAGAGGCACGACAGTGACCAAGTGTGTGGGAGGGCAGATGCGATTAGAGCGGCAAAAGGGGGCAAGAGAGGATGGGAGTGCCTTTATTGAAAATGCACTTGCGCCCCTGCAGCGTCGTGTACTACTCGTGCCACTCCGACAATTCCTCACCCACCCCCCTTCACCTTCCCACAGGCTCGCATCCATCTATCCACTCGCCCCCACGCTTCCCCCCACGTGGCAGCTGAACCTCTTCCCCCCCCCCCCCCCCTCTAACCCACCTCGCTGGGCGTCATGAGGTCAGTGGGTTTCTCCCAGCTGGACTGCTGCGTGCGCTTGTTGAAAAGGTACGTGCGCCCCTGCGGACTCACGTACTCCTGCCACCCCCACAGTCCTTCCCTTGCCTCCTGTCAACAACCCCCCTTCCGCTCACCTCGCTGGGAGTCATGAGGTCAGTGGGTTTCTCCCAGCTGGACTGCTGCGTGCGCTTGTTGAAGAAGTACTTGCGCCCCTGCGGTGTTGAAGATACCTGCCACTCCCACGCCCACATCACCATGCATCCTCCTCCCCCCCACTCGCATTCCTGCACCCCTTGCAGCTGACCCACGCACCTCGCTGGGAGTCATGAGGTCAGTGGGTTTCTCCCAGCTCGACTGCTGCGTGCGCTTGTTGAAGAAATACTTGCGCCCCTGCGGTGTTGTGTACTCTTGCCACTCCGCCGCCGCTCCGCCCCCGGTACCCGTAGCGCCCGCTGGGGCAGCAGCTGCGCCTCCCCCAGGTGCGGCCTGTGTGGCCGCGGGGGCGGGCGTTGCTGTGGCGGGAGGTGGCATCTGGGGGAGGGGCACCTGCGGAAGAGGAGCAGCAAGGGGGGGAGGGGGGGGGGGAAGCGGGTGGTTCGAAGGCAGGGGAGAAGAGCGAAGAGAGACGATGATATGATGCGTTACAGAGAAAAGCCTTTCACTGGGCTTACAAGGTCAAGGAAAACAATAGGGTGGACTAAGGAAGGGAGAAGGAAAGTCGTGGTAAATGGGGGAATCGTTACAGTCGGTCACCCACTCACTCACCCCTCCAGCAGTAGTAGCAGCAGGGGCTGCCCCCCCAGGCGCGCCCTGCGCTGCTGCCTGCGCCCCTCCAGCGCCAGGCCCCCCCTGCGCTCCCCCTGGCGCAGGCGCGCCGGGCACCTGCCAGTGCGGTTGCTGATGGGGCGGGTGCTGCTGGGGGGGGTAGGATCCGGGGGCGGGCATGTGACCGGGCATGGGGGGGTAGGACGGGTACGGCTGCTGCTGCTGCGGCGGCGGCTGCTGCTGCTGTTGCTGCTGCTGGCCGGGGTATTGGGGGGGCTGGCCGGGGGCGCCAGGGTACTGCGGGTGCGGCTGGTGCTGCCCGGGGTACTGTTGGGGGTGCCCTTGCGCGCCGTACGGGGGAAGGTGGCCGGGCGGAGCGTTCGGGGGAAGCGGGGGGAAGGGGCGCGGCGGAGGGGCGCCTGGGTAGGGCGGGCGGAACTGCTGCTGGGGAGAGGCGTAGTGCCCCTGTGGAAGGCGGGAGGTTGCGAAGGGGGAGGGGGGAAGATGGGGGAAGATAGGTTACGATTGAAGAGAAGGAACAGAGCGATGACATGACAAGTGAGAAGGCAAGTCAGCCAGGAAAGCAAAGGAAAGCGGACGGTTGGACGCGGGCTGCGGGCAGGAGGGAGAAAAGAGGGAGCTAGGGAGAGAGGGAAGGATCAGGCTAGCGACAGGAAGGAGGAAAGGGAAAGGGACGGAGGCAGGAAGGAGGGAGGGAGGGAATGTGGGGCTGGCAGAGGGGAGTGAGGGAAGGGAAGGACGCAAGTGAGGGGGTGGGGGGGCGCGCGAGCAGAGGGTGCGCGCACCTGAGGGGGGGCGCCAGGGGGAAGCGGGGGCCCGCCAGGGCGAGCGCCATAAGGAGCGCCGGGAGGGGCAGGTCCGCCTGGTCCCCCCGCCCCTGGTGCTGCTGTTCCCGGCGCTCCGGGAGCTCCTGGCGCTCCTGGCGCTCCCGGTGCGCCCGGAGCTCCCGGCGCGCCTGGCGCTCCCGGCGGCCCTTGCCCCTGCGCCTGCTGCTGTCCCGGAGGGGCTTGCCCTGGCGGCTGCTGGGGCGGTGGCTGAGTGCGTCCTGGGCCCGGCGGCAGGTGCGCCGCTCCCATGCCTGGCGCGCCCGGCGGTGCTCCCGGCGCTCCCGGCGCTCCCGGAGCTCCTGGCGCTCCTGGCGGCTGGTACTGCAATGAGGGGCGAGCGGGTGTCGGGTGATGTGAATAAGGACAGTGTAAGAGCAGGAAGGAGGGGGTGCGAAAGGAGGTACGGGGTGGAAACGGCGGAGAGGAGCGGAAGGAGGGGGATGCGAGAGGAGGAAAGTCAGCAGGCGCAAAGAGATGTTCACCTGTCCGCGGCCTGCAGGCCCGGGCAACAAACCGCCGCCGGGGGAAGGCTGCGGGGGACCGCCAATGGGAGGCGCGCCTATAGGCCCCCCGCGACCCGCCGCGTGCATGGGCGGCGCTCCGCGACCCATCTGGGGCGAAGGTGGGGGGACGGGAGCGGAGGGTTGGGGTTCGGGGGAAGTGAGACGCGGGAGGGGTGCAACGCAGTCACGCAAAATGCAGGTGCGGAGGAGGATGCGGGGGAGGATGGCGGGACGATACGGATGCGGGGGAGAATAGGCGCACAGATAGCTATATGTGAAACGGGAAACGTCAAACGCCAAAACGCAAAAAGCCAAACGTCAAACGTAAAAAGTCAAACAAGACGATCGCAGAAGAAACACGAAACTGTGTCGCAAAGTGATTCATCGCATTTCAGGCGGAACTGGAAGCGTCGTGACTCGGTGCGCACGTTGTGCATGAATGCTGCGGTGCGCACGTTGTGCATGAATGCTGCGGTGCGCGCGTTGTGCATGAATGCTGCGATGCGCGTGGTTCGGGTGCGGGATCCTCACGACGGCGGGCGATTTGGAGTCGTCGTGCGCCATCGAGGGAGCAGGCGGGGACGGCGACGGAGCGTTGCCGCCCCCGGAAGGAGCGGCGGTCGCTGGAGCTGCTCCGGGAGCCGCGCCAGCGGCCGGCGCTCCAACTGGTGGCATAGACTTGCCGCCTGGGGCTTATCGGGGAATAGGAGGAAAGAGCGGTAATATCGGATGTGAGTAGCGTGCGACAAGGGGAGTGCGGAGATCGAAAAGGTGTGCGGTGAATGAAACGGAGTGTGGGGACGAACGAAGGTGGAAGCACAGGAGGGCGATGCATGAAGAGATTTTTTTCCTTTTTTCAGAACCTACGTTCCATACGTGTAGACTGACACATCGCATAAAAGCAGAGATCTGTATCTAAGAGTGGCAATGCATGTAAAATCGATCAGGATTAGGCGGAGAAACGAATGGCGAGAGGTGAAGGACGCACCCGTCATCCATGCAGGAAGAGTCATTCCGCGGCCGCGCCCAGATCCCGGTACAGGAGGGACGCCCGCCATGGCTGTTGTCGTGAAGTTATTGCTTGTAAGGACGCGATACTAAGGAGATAATTATAGAACTTGGCGAAACCCTAGAAGCTCTGGTCGGGCTTTTCCTTCCAAAAAATCTGGTCAAGGTTGGCATGGCGAGGTTCTCAAATCCCGTATACTCTGTATGTTTATACTCACTAGTGGTTGAGTTGAATACTTATCTGAATAAGGCTCAAATCATATCAGGGTGCCTTCTCCTGGATATGCAAGAAATCTCAAGCACGCAAAGCCTTTAGAAAAAAATCTGAATATTAAAATTATCATCGAGGGATAATTTGGAACTAAATTAAGAATTAACAGACTTCTCAAACTTTAAAATGAACAGCACATGAGTTTCGTTAACACAATGAGAGCTTGTTAATACACATTCCTTCAGGTGACAAAGGTTTTGTCGGAACAACTCTTTGATGAAGAATCTTTCGATTTTGGCGCCAGCTTTCGGCTGACAGTCGTCCGATCTGGCGTCCTCCCCAATCGAGCGCCGTCAACTTCCATGCTTCATGATCCACATCGGTGCCACCAAGAAAGCATCGAACCAGTAGGGAGGCAATCTCTAGGGGGGAACACGACACCCTTGGGATAGTCAGCCTGGCTCTGAAGTGAATCCACTCCACCTTTACGACTGCCTGCTCAAAACTTGATCTAAAAATCTGCTGCTACTTCCTATCAGGCTTCTCCCTTACCTTCTCTCTTTTAGCTTAGGCCAAATCTAGTTTTGTTGCGGCGACAGAGTTTGCAGGATGATTAGTGTGAAAGACAGCTAGCTAACCCTGGTTTTCTTGCTCGACGCTGTGATTCAGCGATAGCGAGCCTGAGCTACTCTACCGTCGCGTGTAACCACAAGAAGGTCCCTTGGCTCTTATCTACGTGTTAAAGGAACGCGCTAGCGTACTCGCCTTGCTGCGTGCTCATTATCCAACGTGGAAAAAGCGACAGAACTCCCACAATGCGGAATCGCGGTGCCAGTCCAGACGGAGAGCCGAATGTGTCGTCCAATGACGGCGCGGAAGAGATGACGCTGTCCGGCGAGCCCGTTGCCGGCCGTTACAAGAAATGCGGGGAGCTGAGCGACGCGGAGTTTCTGGCGGTGCACGGCAAGACGAGAGCGCAGATCGCGGAGGAGAAGCGGCTTGTGGAGGCTCAGGGGATGGAGATTAACTACCTCGTGCCGCCGCGGTCGACGAAGCTGTCGGACGTGATCGCAGTGTTTATCGCGCACATGCTGCCGTTCACGCTCGCTCCTTTCATCCTCACAATAATAGTCGTGTACATCTCGTACATGTAAGCGATTGTCGTGCACGCAGCGTACATGTCGGCGGAGCGTGATTGTTTTCGCCGTTGAGGTTGCTGCATTGACCGGTAGGCAGCTCAACATGCGTTTCAGATTGTCGTACGCTCTTGGATGTGCTCGCTGCTTCTAGTGAACATGCCATCGCGTGTCATTCATGGCTCATGATCCATGCCGCGTGATCCATGATGCATGATCCGTGACCCATGACCCACGACCCATGACGCTGACCCATGATCCATGATTCATGACCCATGACCCATGATCCATTACCCATGACCCATGATCCATTACCCATGATCCATTACCCATGACCCATGATCCATTACCCATGACCCATGACCCATGACCCATGTTCCATTACCCATGAACCATGATCCGTGACCCATGATCCATAGCGCATATCAGTTATCAAACATGACATTTTTCCAGCACCCTGACCCCTGCCTCCCGCTGTGGCCATAACTTAAGGCTGATTTCTGTCCGGCTTGACTTCCTGTGACCATGTGCGCCATCAGGTTGCTGGGGTGGCTGGGACCGCTCATCTCCTTCCTCGTGCTCTTCTACCTCACCGTCTGCCGGATGCATTACGACCCCAACACGCGCCGCAAGTACCAGGTGCGTCCACAAGTATAACGGGATGTCTCGTCCCTGCTCCCTGCTCCCTGCTCCCTGCTCACTCCTCCGTGTTCCTTACCTGCCCGTTTCTATGGCTCTCCAACCCGTCCTCCCCCATCTCCGCTCGTTCTCACCGTGTTATGCCCCCCCAGGAGCTGTACCTGAAGATGGCGCGGTACATGGTATCAGTGCGCATGGTGACGCCCAGGGACCCCATCCTGGCCGCACTCTCCCCAACACCCTCTCTTCCTTTCTCCCCACCTCCGCTCATTCTCACCCTCTACGCCTCCAGGAGCTGTACCTGAAGATGGCGCGGAACATGGTATCAGTGCGCATGGTGACGCCCAGAAACCCCGTCCTCAACACACTTCCTTCCCTTCTCCCGTCTCTGCTCATTCTCACCCTCTTACGCCCTCAGGAACTGTACCTGAAGATGGCGCGGTATATGGTATCAGTGCGCATGGTCACGCCCAGGGACCCCATCCCCGACGGGCCGTACATCTTTGCGTTCCACCCGCACGGCCGCATGTTCTACTCCACCTCGCTCATCATCCAGTCCCACGAGCTGTGGCGGAAGCACTTCTGCCCCAAAGGTGCGCTCTTGGCTGCTGGGCTGCCCTGGACGCTTCTGAGCTGCTCTGTGCGCTGCTGTGCTGCCCTGTGTGGTGTTGTGAGGTGCTGTGCAGTGCGGTGTGGTCTTGTTCTGTGCTGTACTGTCCTGTGCTGTGTGGTGTCGTCTCGTGTTGTACTTTATGCTGCAAACGTGCTATGCCGAATGCTGCATATGCGCCTCAACCCCTCACCTCTCGCCTCGTCTATCGCGCACCCCTCTCCCCGCATGCGCCTCTCACCTGCTCCCACCTCCCCCAGGTGATTTCTTCGGGTGAGCAGCAGGGGCGTTCTTCGTGGTGCCCATTGTGCGCAACATTCTCAACAACCCCTCACTCCAGCCCTCGCACAAGCCTTCTATCACATACGCCTCCCACCTGCTCCCACCTCCCCCAGGCGACTTCTTCGGGTCAGCAGCGGGGGCGTTCTTCGTGGTGCCCATTGTGCGCAACATTCTCAACAACCTGGGGCTCGTGTCCGTGGATAAGCCTGCCATCGTGCGCACGCTCCGGAACAAGAACCACGTGAGTGTCTGGTTGGGGTGAGAGGGAGCATGGGAGTGCTTGCAAGCGACATCCTGAACAACCTGGATCTCGTGTCCTTGGACATACATGCCATTGTGCGCACTCTCACGAACAAGAACCACGTGAGTGTTTGCCTGAGAGAGGTGAGAGGGAGCATGTGAATGTTGCCTGAGAGGGACCATGTGAGAGCTTGCAAGCAACCCCTTGAACGTTCTGGGGCTTGTGTTTGTGGACAAGCATGCTATCGTGCGCACGCTCCGGAACAAGAACCACGTGAGTGCTCGCATGAGAGAGAAGCATGGGTGTGGTGAGAGGGAGCATGGGAATGTGGCGACTGAGCATGGGAGCGGGGCGAAGGAGAGTGGAAGTCAGGTGACGGAGTACGGGAGTGGTGAGAAGGGGCATGGGAGTGGTCAGAAGGGTCGTGTGAGTGGTTACAAGGGGCATGGGAGTTAGGAAAAGGAGAATGGTTGTGGTGCAAGGAGCGTGGGAGTGGTGAGAAAGAGCGTGGGAGTTGTGAGAAAGATCGTTGGAGTGGTGAGAAGGGGCACGGGGAGGGGTGAGAAGGAGCATGGGAGTGGGGCGAGGGGGTGAAGGAGAATGTGAGTACGGAGAAGCATGGGACTGCTTGCAAGTAAGCAAGCACATGGGGAAGAAGCATGTTGGGGAAGTCTCACAAGTATGTGCTGTTCTGTGCTGTGCTGTGCTGTGCTGTGCTGGGCAGGTGACAATAACAATCGGCGGGGTGAAAGAGATATGCCTGGGCACCAGCCCTGATTACGACACGCTCTACCTCATGAAACGGTGAGGCAAAGGGGTGGTGGGGGGTGGGTTGCGGTGGGAGGCGGCGAGTTTGCCCGGGCAGGATTGGACGTTTGTGGATTGCCTCATCCTCTTTCCCTAATCAGCCCTGATTGCAACAAGGTCTACCTTGTGAAGTGAGAGACAGGGGGGGTGGTGAGGACGCAGGGGCTTGGTAGTGAGCAAGGGAACGAGGGGGGCAGCGGGTGGGAAAAGGGGGGGAAACGGGTTCTTGGGAAGCGATATGGCATGACTTGTGGTCAAGCTAACGGGGGGTGATGCTGGTTGGAAAGGGGTTACGCATGCAGGGTTGGCACGTGCTATGGCCAGCCGGGCCTTCTATACCATTCATGCCTCTCGTGTGGCTCATTTGTTGTTGCTCTCTCATGGCCTTCTTTCCCCATCTCTTGCTCGTTCTCTCTTTCTCTCAACGCAGAAAGGGGTTCATTAAAGTGGCGATGGATGAGAAGGTGGGCATCGTGCCCATCTACAACTTCAATGAGAACCAGGTGCGCATGCTGTGCCACGTGTGCTGTGTGACACCATGGTGTTATGATATGTGGTGATCTCATATGCTTTGTTGTGTGCCCATCTACAACTTCAGTGAGAACCAGGTGCGTGGGTTGAGCAGCACTGTATGCTGCAATGTTGGTGAATGATATGTGTGATGCTATATGTGCAGTAAGAATCAGGTGGGCTTGTGTACGGTGCGATGCCCTGTGTACTATGTGCTATATGCCATATGCCATGAGCAGTGAGCCATGTGGAATGTGCCATGTGGAACGTGTCATGTGGAATGTGCCATGTGGAACTCCCCATTGTTTCCCCCCACAGATCTTCCGGCCAGAGCCGCACTGGTTCCTGGCGTTCTGGGAGTGGGTGAACAACTACGTGGGCCTGGGCGTGCCAGGCATGAGAGGCTACCTGCAGATGCCCATGCCCTTCCGCAAGTGAGTGTTGCTGTGCGAGGTGCAGTGCGGTGCAGTGCTCTGTTGTGCGGGCCATGCCAGGCAGGAGGGGCTATTTGCATGCTATTTGAAGGCACTCAAGCCGCTCTCCCACACCCACGTCCCCATCACTTTCCATAGCCAGCTCCGCCGATTCACTCCCTGCATTGTCACCTCATCTCAGCTCTCTTCTCCCTATCTTAACTGCTCTTCCCTCATGCGCACGCCCTCAGGGAGCTGCTCTTCGTGGTGGGCAAGCCATTGTTCGCAAAGGATGGGGAGGCGGTGGACGAGTTTCATGCACGCTACATGGACGCACTCAAGCAGCTCTTCGACACCTACGTCCCCATCCCTTTCCGTGTTTGACTCAAAACGCTCCCTCCCTGCACTGTCCGCTCTGCTCCTTTGTGCCTACCCTGCCAATGCAGGGAGCTGCTTTTCGTGGTGGGCAAGCCGTTGTTTGCAAAAGAAGGAGAAACGGTGGACGACTTTCATGCGCGCTACGTGGAGGCTCTCAAGCAGCTCTTCGACACCTACGTCCCCATCTCGCCCCACCCCTCACACAAACTCGTCATCACATAGCCGTGCGCCCTGCCTCAGAGCGTCTCAACACCCACACCACTGTGCCAGCCCTACCATTTTCATACAGCATCTCTTCTTACCTTCCATCATAAAGTCCCCCCTGCTTACATAGTGGTGTAGAACTCATGAGTTGTGCTCTAGGTAGTTTTACTCTAGCCTTTGCCAAGTAGTGATGCTAGTGTTATGGAAGTGTGGCATAGCTCATCCCTGCTTGCATACTCGCGCAGCAGCGACTGCAGTGTCCCGCCAGTGCGGCTGTCAGAGTCAGCTGCATTAGCTCTGCGCTCTAGCTCCTCCTTTTGAGCAGTGGTGGGCTAGCTACGAGCTAGAGAGGTTACATTACATACATGTGTGTGTGTGGGCCACAGGCAACATTGGATACATCGAGGATGGAGCTTGGATTGCATGTTACTGTAACTGTCAAGCGGACTGTATCTGTCTACCTGCCTCTGGTTCACAGAATGGACGCCTCTGCAAGAGGAGAATAAGTTACGCTATTACACAAATGGCATCACATCGTGAACGTACAATGACTGCGCATGGCAGGCAAACGGCATTGCCCAAGCGTTGACAGCCCACCTGGGTCAGAAGGAGAAGCAGCTGGTAGAAGTAGGGAAGAATACGGTACCAGCACACGTTGGGGCATGAGGCCTTGAAACAGCACGGCTTGGTGCATCAGCATCAGGGCTTGGGGCGCCAGAAGAAGCCAAAGAGGCAGTGGGTGAGGTAGAGGGGGAAGAGCGTGGCCAGGGCGAGCTCACATGCCATGAACCCCGCTGTCATGCCCGTGAAGTCCCCCCTCATGGCCTCCTCTCCGTACCTGCAGGGTGAGGGGAGAGTGGGAGAGGAGGGATACGGGGAGTGTTGGGCATCAGAGTTGGGCGTCAGGGCTTAGGGCGATGAATAAGCCGAAAAGGCAGTGGGTGGGATAAATTGGGCAGAGCGTGGCTAGGGCGAATTTACATGCCATGAACCCCGCTGTCATGCCCGTGAAGTCCCCCCTCATTGCGTCCCTTCCGTACCTTGAGGGATGAGGGGAGAGGGGATTGATAGAGGGGAGAGGAAAATGAAGGGGTTTTTGAGGCGCCTCAGAAACCGAATTCCACCCATGGTCACCCTGTTGTACCTGGGTTTGTGTGGGAGGAAGCAGCACGTGGAAGGAGTCGAGGGGAAAGGCAGGAGGTGGGGAGTTGGAAGGGGAACTGTAACGTTTCCACGAGCTGGGGGTAATGCAACAGTTACATCACCTCATCAGTGGGTATTGCAGGAGTTACCTCACCTCATCAGCGGGTATTGCAGCAACACGGCGAATGCCACAATGAAGCGAGTGAGGCGGCCAAAGCCGAAGAGGTGAGTTCAAGAGTCACAGCCCGAGGGGGCACTGCAGTAAGCACCTCACCTCATAAGGGGGTACTGCAGCAGAGCGGCGAATGCCCCAATGAACCGTGTGAGGCCGTAGAGGCGGCCAAAGTTGCGGAAGCCAAAGAGGGAAGCGATGAGCGCCGCCAGGGTGCTGTAGATGAACGCCCTCGCCACACTGTATGCCGCGAAACTCAGGAGCTGATGGCCGTGGGGGTGGGCGGAGAGATGGCGTGAGAGAGAGGGAAACCAACGAGCAAGGCGATGGCGCCGCCATGGTGCTGTAGATGAATGCTCTGGCGACACTGTAGGCCACGAAACTCAGGAGCTGGGAATGATGGGAAAGGAGCAGGGAGGGGGGCAACAGGAGAGAGAAAAAACGACGGGAGATGAGCGATGAGTGGTGCCATGGTGCTGTAGATGCACGCCCTGGCGATGCTGTAGGGTGCGACACTCAGGAGCTGCGAGTGAAGGTTGGGAAAGGTTGTGCAGGTGGGCAGAGAGATGGGATGAGGGAGAAGTAGGCCAAGGAGCAAGGCGATGAGTGGTGCCATGGTGCTGTAGATGCACGCCCTGGCGATGCTGTGGCCGCAAAGCTCAAGAGCTGTGACAGACGGAGGAAAGAATCATTAGTAGACACCATGGCATCATGGCATGAAGGAATCAACAGCATGGCATCAGCACGAATCAACACCATCAGTAGGACAACAGCACGCCAGCCATGGCGGCATGGCATGGCATCATGGCACTAGTGGGCGGCATACCATGGCATCTAGTGGAAGGATGGGGGCGAGGAGCAGCAGCAGGGAGGAGAGGAGCGACAGGGCGGCAGTGATGGCGAAGGCGGGCGGCAGGCCGAGGGAGTCGATGCTCCAGCCGGCCAGAGGCACGCTGAGACAGCCGCCCAGCGGGAGCAGGCAGTTGAAGGCGTCGATGTAGTGCTGCTGCACTGCTGCTGCTGTGGATGGCGGGTGGATGGCCTTGGCGTGCTGCAAGGGAGAGCGGAGAATCGGGGAAAAGTAGGGACATAGGGATACGCAGGGAGCAGGCAGTTGAAGGCATCAATGTAGCTCTGTTGCACTGCTGCTGCTGCTGTGGGTGGCGGATGGATGGCCTTGGCGTGCTGCAAGGAGAGAGGGCAGAAAGAGGGGGGGTGCAGCGAGAATCGACAGTTGAAGGCACTGATGAACCTTGGTGTGGTGATGGCGACACATGATTTGGTAGCTTTCTGGTGACCGTGCAAGTGTAAGGATGCGCGAAACACTCGTTTCACTCACCACGGCGAAGGTGATCTGGTCGTTGACAGCCGCGATGTACACATTGGAGCGCAGCACATAGAACGCCGCCACCCCCACGTGCACCCAGAACAGCGGCGCCCTGCCGTTTGAAGTGGGTTTGGGGTGGGAATGGGGGTGGGTGTGGGGGTGGGGGTGGGGGTGGGGTGTACTGATGAAGGCGAAGCCACAAAGAAGGCCGCCACCCGCACATGCACCCAGAACAGCGCGACCTGCCGATGGATTGGGGGTGGGGGTGTACTGCTCAATTCAAAGCCACACAACGAAGACTGCCACGAGCATACGCACTCAGAGCAGCGACGACCTGCCATTTGTTGCAGTGGAAGGGGGAGGAGTGGGAGTGGGAGCGCGGGTGTAGCGGCGAAGGCAAGGACAGAGAGAGGAGGGCCGCCATGCGCATGTGCGGTCAGCGCTGCCGTCCCTAAGGCTTGCTGCAGTGGAGGGTGGGCGAGTTGCAGCTTGTGGAGAAGCAGATGGAGGGGCACCTGAGCTGGGTGCTGGGTAGAGTAACCACACATGAGCATCTGGTGGTTTCGGAAACCCAAGCGTGGGCACACGCAGATGCCAAGGCACCTGAGCTGGACGACTTTTCAGACTTCTGAAAAGGCACCTGAGCTGGATGGCAATGTCGGCATTGTAGATGGCGGGAGGGGGCGGCAGGCACGGGGTGCTCCGGCCGTGGAGCCACACGATGGGCAGACTGGGAGACACCGGGATGCTGCTGCCTCGCCCTGTGACAGCTGGCAGCGCCACGTTGCATGCTGACGTGCTCAGCTCGTCGGCAGCAGCAGCAGCGCTGCTTGCACCATCAGCATCCCCACCAGCAGAAGCCTTATCACTCCCAGAAGCCCCCATGAGGCGCAGCAAGTATAGCCGCTCCAACTCCCCACTGCGCCTTGGCCCCCGCGCTCCCTCTCTCGACCCTCTACTCCGCCCTCCCTCCTCGTCCCCTCGCCCCACTGCAGTCACCCCTGCTCCCATCCCCTCTCTCGCCCCTCTCATTCCCTCCTCCTCCCCAAGTGTGTCCTCATGTCCCCTGTCACTCCCTCCCACAGCAGGCCTCCCTTGCCCCCTCTCCCCTTCCTCCTCGTCTGACTGGCTCTGCGATGGTTGCTCCTTGCTTGCCTGCATCGCGCTTGAATGCCCCTCGCTTGCAGGTTGCAGGAGAGGCGCGGTGAGCAAAGAGAGCGGGTCGGGATGGGGTGACGTGGAGGAGGGGGTGGTGGAGGTGGGTGGAGGAGTGGTGAGCGGTTCTGAAACGGGTGAGGCGCCAAAAGGACTGCAAAGACGAGGCAGGGTGAGGGGGAAGGGGGAAAGGGAGGGGAGCGACGTAGAAAGAGATGGGAAATGGTGGGGGCAGGGCGATGAGGATGGATGGTGATCAAGTGAGCGGTAGGGACCGAGCATGGGGATATGAACCCCTGATGTGAGCTTCCAGGCAGAGGTGACCGCAAGAGGCAGCGAGGACGAAGAGGAAGATCACATTGACAGACAGACACAAAGCACCACCCTCCCTCTAACCCGTCTCGCACACACAACCACACTCGCCCCCCTCCCCTCGGACCCGACTCATCGCACACATCGGGGAAAGTGGCGGCGGCAACGGCAGCAATCACAAGCGGCACGGCGAGATAGGCGAGGCAGACGGAGGAGAGGGCGAGGTGAAGGCGCGAGACGGCGAGGGCGAAGAGGAAGAGCACGGCTGCAGAGGCATCAAAGGCACCGCTCTGTGCTGCTATGACCGCTGCTGCTGACGACGGGAGGAGCTCGGAGAAGTTGATCTGGTGGGTGAGGGCGGGGAGGGAGAGATGGGGTGGGAATTGGGAGAATGGTTGGACTGGTGGGTGCCAAGGACGCGAGATGCTTGGAATGCGAAGCTGTGTGTGGATGGGGAGGCAGTTTGGCGCGAGGGAAGGTCACTGTGGAGAATCAAGGTTGGACAGCGGGACAATGGGGGTAACGGAGCAACATGGCAGGTAGGCGCATCCACAGCAGGCGCAGCAGCAACGGCAGTACACTGCGTAACACTGGCCGTACCATGGGTGTGAGGATGAATGGCCCTCCGAGCGCGAGGAGAAAGAAAGCCGCAAAGAAGCACACCCCGGCAACTCCGACGCCCTTCTTCGCCCCTCTTAACCCCCCTGCCACCCATCCCAACGCCTCTGTCATCCCTCTTATCCCCTCTCCCCCCCTCCTAGCACCCTCGCCCCGGACGGCCATGCCACCCCCATCCCATGCACTGTCCCTGTCCCCTGGGGCCCCCTCCAAATGGCGCCCTGTTAATGGCTGGGAGAGATTGTCTGCCTGCTCGAAGCGATGGGGGCAATAGTGCAGCGGCCACGGCGGGGGGAGAGGGCGGTGGAGGAGGGGGGACTGGGTGTGGTGGGACTCATAGGCAGGGAAGGCGGGAGGCATGGCGAGCAGGGAGGCGGAGGGGGAAGGCACGGGCAGGACAGGGGGAGGGGCGGGAGGGGGCGGGTGGGAGAAGGCGGAACCGAGGGCGAGGGCGAGGAGGCCCGCGGAGAAGACGAGAGAGCCCGTGATGGCTGCGGTGCGCGGTCCGTAGGCATCTAGGAATGCGCCCACTGGCAGTACACACGCGCTGTTGGTCACCATGCCTGGTGGGGCGACCGGGATGGGCGCACATAGATGCACGGGTGGTGAAGGATACGAGGAGGTCAGCACATTGGCACATGAACACATGCAAATGCAGGGGACATAAGGCAGAGAGCAGATGGGAGAGAAGGGAAGCGATGATGGCTGTGGTGCGCGGGCCGTAGGCGTCGAGGAACGCCCCCACTGGCAGTACACACGCACTGTTGGTCACCATGCCTGGTGGGATGACACGTGTGTGTGCAATTACGAGACACGCAGGACAGCACTTGAGAGCATGAACTCATTACACAATGCACACATGCCAATGCAGGGTGCATAGGGGGCATGGGGGCTCAGCAGCAACAGAGTGCACATACACGTGCCCCACCACCCTTCGTTACAGTCACGTACTCAGGGTGTAAGCGGCGTTGAGCAGGTTCATCTGGGCGGCGCACGGCACAGACTCCCCCGCCCCGCACGCGTCGCTGAACGCGCCCACGTCCGCCACCAGCACCGGCAGGATGCCGGAATACCCGTAGATGATGCCTGGCGCGGGGGGGGACGAGGGGGAAAGGACGGGGAAAAGCGGTGAATTGGGGAAGCGACCACGCGGGGAAGCGGGGAGCGGGATTCAGACAATGCAGTCTTTTCCAGGGCTGGATATTCCGCAAAGTCTCGCGCACCAGTGACGGCATCATCTCAGTACCGGCGGTGAGCAGCGAGGCGAGCACGGAGACGGAGACCAGCAGCACCCGCCTGCCGCGCGACAGCTGCGCCTCTTCTTCCGCTCGCCCTGCGCGCGACGCCATTTCCGCGCGCGGATCCGCTTCTGATTACACGCCGCCACGCGCGCGCTCCTGGTTATCAACCCACAGCGTGTGAATGCGAAGACGAGAATGGCGGGTAACAAGTCAGCCTGGCGAACATCTCGCGAATGTTGATCGGCGTGCACCTGGGCGCCAAAGGCCAATCAATTGTGGCGGGGTTGCGGCGGGGTAGCGACGGGGAACGTGGAAACGAATCCGGGTGAGTCTAGTTTCGAGATTCGAGCAACGGGGAGAGCGGGAAAGGCAATTGCGAAAATGGGTGCGTGGGCAATCGCCTCGCGACCATCTGAGGAGGGGCGTGATGAGCTGCGTGGCACGATTTATGAGCGCCACTTGGCGGGCCCTGGGATTGGTGTCTGGGAATCCCAAGGGCGCTCCGTGTCTCGCTATTGATTAGTTTTCTCTAAACCAAAAGCGGATCCACCTTTATAAGCTTAAATATTATACATGTGTTAGCTGCTATTTGAGGGCTCAGTCCCCTTTGCCCTACTTGTTCTTGGCAGTGGTCTCCAGAAATAACCGTACATAGCTACTGAGAGGTAATATGGAAACGTGGCTGTTAGTATCAACTCTATAGCAAGGAAGAGACCGTTCACCAGTACGAACTGTGCTCCCATGGATGACTCACAAGCACTGCACAGGCAAAAAAAAAATGAAATCAGTTGGTGAAAAATCACCAAGATACTGCAGCAGTCGTTCTGACCTTTCCCGAATCAACATCCTCACAATTACTACTTACCTCATTAGAGGGTACTGTAACAATGTAAGGAATGCGCCTCCTAGCCGGTTGATCCCATACAGCCGGCCAAAGTTGCGGAAGCCAAAGAGAGTGCCGACATATGCCGCCATTGTGCTGTAGATGAATGCCCTGGCGATGGCAAAGGCAAGGAACGCCACCAGGTGCAGCATAGGCCGAAGGAGGGAAATGGAGGGTGAGTGGAGTGGGGAGGGGTGGTATGTGGTGGGCATAGGAGTCGGGCGAGCAACAGCACACGCTCACGAAGACAGAGGAAACAAGTGGAACAGAGGAATGTGAGGGTTCCGTTGTACAGCACACAGCAGTCGAGACCACACGGTAAGGCACAACGCCCCACCTGCATGGGAAGCGGGACCCAAGCGGCCATCATCTGAACAGCAGAGCAGAGCGCGCAGAGCAGCGTGGTGAGGACAAAGGAGAAGGGCAGCCCTGGGCGCTCCATGCTCCACCCCGCCAGCGGCACGGCCACCACCCCCCCCGCTGCCAGCACTATGTTGAATATGTCAATGTAGCACGTGATTTGTGCGGCCGCATCGGATGGGAGGTCGGTGGTGGCGGTGGAGGGCGGGATGCTGAGGAGAGTCGTCTGATGGGCGTGGAGGGGGAGGGGTGGGGAGGGGTACATGGATAGGAGGTGCGGGATAGGGAGAGGTTTGGAAGAGAGATGGGGATGGCACATGGCACATAGCATGCAGCATGGCACATAACACACAGCACATAAGACATAGAACGTGACACCTGACACATAGCACGCACCACAGTGTAGCGAATGTGGGTGTTGACAGCAGCAATGAAGAAGTTGGAGCGCAGCACGATGTATGGTTGGCTTGCATGTGTGAGATTACAAGACGGCATGTGCCACAAAATGCTGCGAATATGTGGGTTGACAGGACAGCACGTAGCACATGGCACATAACAGATAGCACATGGCACGTACCACGGTGTAGCGGATGTGCGTGTTGACGGCAGCGATGAAGAAGTTGGAGCGCAGCACGAGGTATGCCGACACTGCCACGTGCACCCAGTACAGTGGCGACCTGGTGTCGTGCCGGGGAGGGGCGAGGGTCGAGGTTGCAATGAACTGTTGGTGAGAGAAAAGAGAAATCCGTAGGACAGGAGAGAGGATGTGTCAAAGAAACAAGTATTTTGGAGCAGCAGCAAGGAGAAGCCATGCGGCCATCTGTGCGCACGGCGCACCTGAGTTGGAGTTTGAGCGGGGAGTTGAAGATGTCAGGTGGAGGTGCAATACCTTCCGATTCTCCTTCCACTATTTTTGCCCCTGCTCCTGCCGTTTTTGTTGCTTCTTCTGCTGGTTTTGCTGCTGCTACTGCTGCGGCCTGTGCTAGCCGCAGAGAGTACAGCCTCCCTAGCTCGCCCTTGTCCCACTGACTCCCCTCCTCCTCTCCCCTTCCCCCCTCTCCTCCCATTTCTCCCTCCCCCCCATCCTTCCCGCCGTTCTCCACGTCATCGTCACTCGACCCACTACTGTACACCATTGCTATCACGCTATCCTTCCTCTCCCTCCCCCCACTGCCTATCTCCCCTCCGCTATCACTGCTGCTGCTGCTACTACTACTCAAGCACTCCTCTATCCCCTCGTCTTCAGCTATAAAGTCACCTGCCACTCCTATCCCCCCTCCCTCCCCCCCCACAGGACGCTCCACCAATACCAATTGTCCCTCCCCTTCCCCCTCCGACTCTTCTTCTTTCCCGCCCGCCCCTACCTCCGCTCCGTCTCTTCCCCCATCCCCCCTGACACGCACTCTCGCTGCAGCAGCGTCCTCCAAACCCCCATCCGCGCGCGTATCCCCCCTCCCGGCACTTGCAGCAGCCTTTGCCGCGCCAAAGGGGGAGTTGGGGAAGGCAGCAGCAGCGAGAGCAGCGAGGGCGAGGGGAACGAGGCAGTAGGCGAGGGCGAGAGCGGAGAGGGGCAGGTGCAGGCGCGTGACGGCGAGGCCCAGCAGGAAGAGGATGAGCGAGGACGCCTCGAATGCTCCCGCCTGTGCACTGATGATGGCGGACGAGAGGCGCGGCACGAGCACACAGAAGTTGATCTGGAGAAGGGGGCGTGGGGAGGAGAGGGGAAGGAGGAAAGGAGGAGCTGGTGGGGGATGAGGACAAGGAAGATGCTATTGGGAAAGGGGGAAGGGGGGCTGGGGTGGTGGCGGAGCGAGGGCGAGATGAAGGGATGGGGAGAGGGAGAGGGACAGGTTGGTAGAGTCGGGGGCAGGGAGATTGGGAGGGAGAGCGACGGAGAGGGCAAGGGGAGAGGTGAGGAGGGGGGGCACGCACGGAGGAGGTGAAGATGAATGGGCCGCCGAGGGAGAGCAGGAAGAATGCGGCAAAGAAGAACACCCCCGACGCCGCTTCCTTCCCCCCGCTGCTCCCCTCCGCCGTCCCCCCTGCTTCCCCCTGCCCCTCCGCCTCCAGCTTGCGCCGCTGCACGCCTTGGTCACCGCGCATCACTTGCTCCCCCGGACAACCTCCACTCCTGCGCCAGCAAGCATGTCCTTCAACCCACCCTGCCCTCTCCTCCCGTGCTGCCCCCCCTTTGCCCATCACCTTCACCATGCGAGCACCTTCTCTCGCCCCATGCGTCCCCCGCTTTCCCCCGGTCAGCTGCGCCCACGAACCCTCTGGTAGGGGCAGTTCCCCGTTCCGCCACGCTCCGTCGATGCGCATCAACCCCCGTGGGGGCTGCGTACTGACCGCCGCGGCAGCAACGCTCGTGTTCGCGGGTTCTGCCATGGCTGGCACTACCACAGTGGCACTCGCGGTACTGTTACTATCAGTACTATTAGTGACGCTGGGCGGCGTTGCGGCGTCAGGCGCGGCGTCATTGTGGGCCCCGGGCGCGAACGCGCCGGCGCCGGCGAGGGCGAGGAGGCCGAGGGCGAAGATGACAGTGCCAATGAGTGTGGTGCGGCGGGGTCCTGTGCGATCAAGCACGAGGCCCACCACAATGGCGCTCGCGCTGTTGGTGAACATGCCTGGTGGGGAGACGGGAGGCGGGGCGTGGGGGGAACGGGGGAGACGGGGGGCAGGTTGCGGGACAGGGAGGGAAGGGAAACCGGGTGTCCGCTGAAGGCGACGGTGATGGCGGCGAAATGGAGAACATGGAATCTGAATGGGGGAGTTTATACGGATTTGGAAGCGAGGCGGCACGCGCGGAGGCATTTCTTGCAGCGCCGCTTCCCTCTGAGTGTGTAGTCGCGCTGCACGGCACGGATTGAATTCAAAGTTGCCTTAAGGCGTGATGATAGTTAAGCGGTGGGAACGCACTGAGGGTGTAGGCGGCGTTGAGCAAGCTCATCTGACGCGCGCACGGCACAGGCTCGCCTGCCGGACACGCATCGCTAAAGGCGCCGACTGGACCCGTCAGCGCAGGGAGGAGGCCGGAATATCCGAACGTGACGCCTGGTGGGGCGGCGGCATGGGAGGAGAGAAAGACTACGATGAAATGCGTGGATGTCGATTCAACCAAGCGGACTGCGTTGGCATACTATCAGAGAGAACCAGAGGCGCCAATTTCAAAACCCGATACTACCAGCGAGACGGTAGGATAAAAACACGGGTGAGGCTAGTGCGTTGGACAAAAGATACTAAGTTGACGGTCGGACCTGCAGTGAAAAAGGCGGCGACGATGGAGGTAGTGACGAGCAGAACACGGCGACCGCGAGACAACGACTCTGGCCGACGCGCCATCACGTAGCAATGTCACCCAATTATTAGCTGAGACGGATTACTCTCGAAATTGGTATCTACGAGTCGTCTGTCCATCTATCTTGCTACTAATGCCGAGTCCTAGAATGCGCCTGAAGTCCCAGCCTTCCCTGAATTCCAACTTGAAGTCGGCGAATCCGTGCAGTTGGTCCTCCAGGGTTGTTTCTGCGACAAATGCTATCACCCATCGCATTGTCTGGGTTGATTTATGAAGACCGCGTCGCGCAGTGGTTGGGAATTCCTGGTTATTGGGGGCAGTGGGCCAACTGCTGAATTTCGGACCTTCAGTTTGTGTCGCTTTCGCGAAGCTGTGGATCTGGTTTGGTTTCCGCCTTCGCTTTGCTGGCTCTCACACCGCCCTAGCGCGCCAACGACAGAGCTGAGCTGAACCCGTAGAAACCAATCAAAAAGGTGGTTAGCTTGGCTCTTGCTGGTGGAAAGGCCAGCGCATAGGTCGTTCGGCAAAACTGGCATTGCGTGACTGGAGCCAGATGGCGTGAGGTTGTTGGTGACGTTGTGTAGTCACCGCACGCGCCAAACACGCAACAGATCACAGAATTACCCACCTGTTGGAAAATGTTTTTATAACCACAGTAAGAAAACGCCACCAGCACAAACTAAATAGCTTGATGTACATTTACTGCTTGTCACTCAGCACCATAACTGCTCACATCAACATCAGGAATATTTTAGTCGAAGGAGAGGAGAGCCGCACCACTTTTCAAGAGGCGGGCGCAGATGACTTCATCTTCTTCCTCTCCCGTTTCTCCTTGCGCTTGAGGGAGTCCATATGCGCCTTGAGAACAAGCGCATACGCCGCCTGAAACTTGGCATGCTCCCGAGGTCCCAGCTGCAGCAGGACACATAGCGTCCACAGAGCACAAGACAAATGGCCCCAAAATCTCACGTGAAGTTGGCAAGTAGCTATTTATTTAAGCATGTTGAAACACACGACGAATGCACGATAATAAAGCATGGGCGGACCCGCACACTCACCAGGGTGCTGATCTTCCTTTTGCCGTCGGTGGCCCTCACCACACACCGGTACTCCGCAGCGCTGCTCTCATCCTCCTCCGCGTCATCCCCGCCTGCCTTCTCACCTCCCTTTGGCTTTTTGCGCAGGTTGGCTGCAGGGGATAGGGTCGACAGGAGCAATGGAGGAACGGAAAAACCATGAAAAACAGGGGGGTTATGATAAGGAAGAAACGCACCACTGGCGAGCAGCGGCTCCCAGCAATCCATCTGCTAATTCCAGGAAGCAGGTGTCACTTCCACTCACCATTTGTACACTTAACACCTCCACCCACACCTGTTAGACTGCACCCCCACACACAGCGCTTCAGCCCATCCCCACCTGCACCGGCACTCGCAGTGCCTGAGCCCCAACCTTACTGGCACTCACAGCGCTTGAGAGTGACCCACACGGTGCCGGCGCCCTTGTGGCGCTCGTACAGCTTGGTGAGCTCGTTCAGAAAGGGATCCGGCTCCAGCAGCATCTGCCCTCACGGTGAGTGGGGAGGGCAGAGGAGAAATGGTTGGGGCCGATGGCCAGGGAGTGGGCAATGGAGTTACGGGCGCAAGCGGAGAGCTTGATGAGCTCGTTCAGAAAGGGGTCCGGCTCCAGCAGCATCTGCCCTCACAGGGGGGGAGGGGATGGGGAGCAGCAGCTGGCGGGCCGTGGGATCAAGGGCACAAGGGACAGCTTGGTGAGCTCGTTCAGGAAGGTGCGGCTCCAGCAGCATCTGCCATGCACTGGACGAAGGGGAGGGGAGAGGTCAGGGGCAGGTGGCAGGACGAACGGTGGAAAAGAACAAATGGCGGGGCCAAGGGTGCTCCTTAAGGCGCCTAAAACAGCCAGTGGCAGCACCGTTGTGGCGCAACGGCACAGCCTGGTGAGCTGGTTCAGGAAGGGGTCCAGCTCCAGCAGCATCTGCCCTGCAGGCAGGGCTGGGGTGGGGTGGGGGCAGAGGGACGGGCCGAGGGGGAAAGGGCGCACTGGGAGGTGCAGGGAGTAAAAAGAGGAAAAATGCAGGGAGGGGGGAGTGGGGGGGTGCTCAGTGAGACTTAAATGTTGAGATTGGATGAGAGGCCGGGCCGCACGGGGTAAGAGAGGGGTGAGAAGAGGGAGCAGGTGAGAAAGGCATTGGTGAGAGGAAGGCGTGTATGGGCTCAATTGACGATACCAAGGAGGGGGGAGAAGAGGACGAGAAGGAGGAGAGGGGGCGGTAAAGAGGGGGCGGAGGAAGGGAGAGGGGGGTGAGAGTGAGAGGGGACGAAAGATGGGAGAGGGGGAGGATGTGGAAGCTGCGGATGCAGCAGGAGCTGCACTGGAAGATGGGAGAAGAGAACGATGATGCAGGGGAGGAGATGCCGAATGGAAGGTGGGGACCGAGGAAAAGGGAAGGGGGGTTGGGAGGTGGGAAGAGGGGGGGGGGGGGGGGGGAGAAAGGGGAGACCAGGTGAGGGAAGGAGGGGTGGAGGCTTTGATAAGAGGGTGTATAAAGGACAAATCAAGTCCGTTGGCTGTTGATTGAGTAATAAAGTACATTCACTTGATAGAAAACGAGGTTGAACAAAACGTAAAAGCGTAGCGCCTACAAAACTGCTCCTGCTGCCGCTTCTCTGCCACACCAAGCCAATCAGAACCTATCCGCGTTACTCCTGCCGTTTCCCCTCTACTGCTACTCCTAGCAACGCCTGCTCCTCCGCCTTCTGCTGCTGCTTCGTCACTGGCAGCACAGCAGCCGCAGCAGCAGCGGCGGCCTTTTCCCGCTCGACAGCCCAGCTGTACGCGAGCATGCCGAGCACGGCGACGGCCATGCCCATGAGGTTCTTTGCGGTGAGTGGCGAGTGGAAGAGCGCGGAGCCCAGCACGAGCACGAACAGCGTCTTCATGTGCCCCAGCACCTGGAACGACACCGCTGAGAACTTCCCGATGCACAGGTACATGGAGAGGTTGACGAAGAGCGCGAGCACGCAGGACAGCAGGATGAACGCCACGGACACGGGGGTCGGGCGGAAGGCCAGCAGGCTGCGGCGCGTGAGGAGGTAATCCACTGTGGGGCCGGAGATGACGAGCAGCACGGCTTGGTACGGCGCGGTCTTGCTGAGCAGGTCGAACGATCCCACGCTGTACTGCTTCTGTAGCGACCCGATGAAGATCTGCTGGAAGGTGGTGGAGAGCACCGCCACGATCGCGGCGAGCAGCCCGGCGGTGTTCACGGTGACGTCAGTGACCGTGCAGATGCCCACGCCGACCATCACGCCCACCACGGCGGCTTTCACGGCGGGCGAGAACGTCTTGCGGTGCAGCAGCGCCTCGAAGAGGCAGCAGGCGGGGATGATGGAGAGCTTGGTGATCTGGTAGAAACCCACGGAGTTCACCATGAGGGACACGTTCATGCTCACGACGGCCAGGCTCGCCACGAACGCGAACCACAGCAGCGTGCGCGCCGGCACGTGCTTGCTCGGCGCGAGCGCGCCGGCGGCGGTCGCGGCGTTGCCGACGGCGGCGGTGGTGATGAAGTGGAGCGCGGTGAGGGACGTGGCGAAGGCGAAGCCGTAGGAGGTCATGAGGGCCTTGTTGACGAGAATGATTCCCACCGACGACACCACGTTCATGCCCCACGCCCCCGCCCATGACAGCGCCGCCGGGTCGTTCAGCATCGCGGCGAGGGGGGAGGAGACGGACGCGGAGTGCGCGAGCGGGACGGGAGAGGGCTCGCGGGCGTGTTGCGTCTGTTGCTGATTACGGCTGCGCCCTAAGCGTCGGACCGACTACGGGTGTGAACCAACTGGGCTACTGAACAGCGGCTAACGACCGGCTTGGAGTGTTCATGGAGCGGACTAGACGAGAAAAGGTTGTCGCGTGGTAAGCGGTGGTTGACCGCGACAGCACTGCACGACCGATTGAGAGAGCACGAGGACGAGGACGGTAGCGAAATCGCACCCTCTACCCTAGCGCCGTAACGTCGCTATTCCCCCCCTGTGCTGGTCGAACTGTTCTTGCCGCTTCGCGTCGCAAGAACAGACCCCGAGCCTGCAAGGTCAACAGGCAGGGGGGACACACACGGGGAGGAGCGGATCTTTCTTTTAAACTGGAAAATCGAAAGGGTTCGCAGTGGAATGACGGCTTTGTGTCCATTCAAACTGCTCGCGACGATCCGGCACGAACTTCATTCTCAGGCATATGGACGCATGTGCTGAAGCCAGATGGTGAATTAGGTCGAAAGGGCCACCCTGACGATAGCACGATTCGATTCTTACAGTTTCCGCGACAAGCGAAGGCCGTAATGGTATAAAGACCAACATATGCCGACTGTTCAGATCGACTGGGATGGTTACTAGACTCCGAGACGCCGAATTCATGAATCCAGCAATATTTTTTTCATTCGACATCTTTCGATATCGGAATCCGCATATGGAAGTGCCAGGTCGCGCTTCGATACCTAAATTCAATAACCCATCCTGAAATTTCGCTCCTGATTGCACGTCATCCCTCAGTGCTGTTACAGTAACGAAGAGCGAACACACTATCAGCAATAAGCTGGGTGAGGGTAAATAGCAGCGGGAGCTTACCTTGTGAACTGTGGGGATCGAAAGCTAGCTGGTTGATCGCCGGCCACAGCTGGTTGGCAGGCTTTGAAATAGCAGACTAGAAGCACCACGGATTAGTAGAGTAGTGGTGGTGATCTATGAAAGTGATAGGTGCTGCAATGCCAAGCGAAGCAAGTGTGTGTACCTTGGGATTCTGTTCTGAGTCTGACACGCGTGTGCGGAGCGGAGGCACGGAGGCACAGAGGCACGCGGTGACGGTGGGCGGAGGGAAGCAGGCGCGCACTTCAAGCGCGGCGGGGATGGCTTGGCAGTGGGCAGATGAAGAGGGTGCGGTGCCTGAAAGGAGGAGTGCGGCGCGGATCAAGGGAACAGCGGGAGCCCCATTTGAGAATTTGGGGGAAAATGGGTAACGTTCAGGAGCATTTTTGTGGGGTTACTGCTAACGAAGTTTTACGATCGGCCACATGGAGGAATCGTGGGTAACGACGAGAACTACGTACTCGCTATGAGAGAACCTGGCAAAAGTTTTAACCCCTCTATTAGGTTGGCACTCCACTTATTTGCGCAAAGCACGTGTACGCAAAATTCTGGTGGGCACAAATCGGCCCTGAACCCTCGGAACCGAGCCAGACTGTTCCCGCCACGGAGGCACTGGAGCGTGCCGCCGTTGGCTGATAAAAGTCACACCGAGCCTGTGTCAAACCAGCCTGGCGCTTGTCATAGTCAAACCATCTCCCGCCATTCCAGATCACCTCCAAACCATCAACGATATTAGCTGTTTCTGCTCTGTACTCCCTAATCCATACCTAGTTCCCTGCTGCCCTCGTCGCAGTCTAGAAATATCCTTGCTCGTACGGTGGACCCGTTCCACTAATAACTCACCGACTCCACCAAGCTAGGCCTTCATGCAGACTCTATCTTGCCGTGTCGCGCGATCGTGCAGCACATCCATTCCACGGCTGGAATCCGCTGGAGTAGGTGTGGTTGCCAGAGCACAGATCACGTCCGTTCCAGTACTTTCCTGCCAAGCCACACACTCGTCCTTCCCCGCATTGCGATCAGCGCGAATAAGTTCGCCAAGTTTAAGACATGTAGGGTGCTCTGTAGCCGTTACTGCCCGTAATTCCGCTTTCTCCGTTTCCCATGGCTCTCGCAGTCCCATCCGAACTTCCTTCCGTGACTCGTTCACTCCCTGCGAGTCGCTATCGTCCCAGGGCCTGACGGCTCTGCTTCCCTCCTCACGCTCGCGCATCGGCCATTCTTTCCGCGTGACGAGCCCGTCGCGGCGACGAGTTAGGGTTTCCGCGTCGTGGAAGTCCGGCAAGCCCAAGGTCAAGGCCAAGGCCGGCAAGTCCAAGGGCGCCGCGGCGTGGCAGTCTGCCTACAGCCAAGCATCGCGGAAGGGCAAGAGCGGTGATCAATCGCGGCGCAGACAGCGGGGCCGGCGCGGAGGCAGAGGCTCGAGCGAGGGGGATAACGATGGCAACGGCACGCTTGCGTACGGGCGGGGCGCAGGGGCGGGAGCGGAGGCGGCGGGGGTGGGTGACGTGTCGTCGTCATCGTCATTCGCGTTCTACCACGCAGGGCTGGGCGGCATGCCGATCGCCGCGGAGCTGGTGAGCGCGCCGTTGAGTGCCAAGAGCGGCGGCGCGGAGGAGGCGCTGCAGTCGCCGGAGAATCTCGCGATCCCCGCTAAAGGCGGCCTCGAAGACGCGGAAGCCGCCGTCGCCGCCGTGGACAGGTGCGTGGACTGGGAACTTGGTGACTAAAAAAAAGCTAGGTGTTTGCTGACGTGGATGATTTGGTAGAGGAGAGAAGCCAGAGGGGCGCTGTTTGTCGGCTAGTGGCGCTCTCCTGTGGGCCGATGGCCACTGGCTGCGGGAAGAAATCGTGGGGGGGGGAGGTGGGAATGGGGAAGGAGGGGGGGGAGAGAGGGGAGAGGATGGCTTGGGCGCAGCCGTTGTAGCGCAGATCTTGCGCCAGTAGGGCAAGTGAGAGAGTGCTGTGTAGTCCTGGGCAGCGGCGCTAGCGGCTTTCCTTCATGGCGTCGCCTTTGTGTCACTCAACTTGTGCCATTTCCCCGTCACCTCTCTTCTACGTTTTCGTGTTCGTGCGTGCGTGATTGTGTGCGTGTGCATGATGGCATGGTTGTACGGCAGTGCGGCGGCGGCAAGCAACGCGCTGCAGCTGCTGTCAGGGGCGTGCGTGCTGCCGCATCCCGACAAGGCGCACAGAGGCGGCGAAGACGCCTTCTTCATCCTCGACGGCGCTGCTGTTGGTCAGTGCTGCCCCTCTCTCGCTCTCATTACTTTCTCACACCCCTTTACAAATCCATACTGCAGTTCTTCATGCTCTTTCTCCCCATCCGCTCATCCCTCTCACCCTCTCACCCTCATTCCCCTCTCTCTCCCCGCTCTTTCCCCCTTCTCCACGCACACCCCGTTCCGGCGAGCAGGGGTGGCGGACGGGGTGGGGGGGTGGGCGGAGATAGGGGTGGACGCAGGGCTGTACGCGCGGGAGCTGATGGCGCACGTGCAGCGCGCCGTGGCGGACGAGCCCAAGGGCGGGGCGGACCCCATGCGCGTGCTGGAGAGGGCGCACAGCAGCACCGCCAGCTACGGCTCCTCCACTGCCTGTGTCGCCGTGCTGCAAGCTGACGTGAGATGCACCGCCTTGTGTACTTGTGGATTTGCACACCAGCAGCCTTCTCTCATTAATTTTTATCCTCTCTAACACCCTATTCCTTTCACTGCCCCTGTTCCTGGCGCCAACTTAACCCTCTCTCCCCCCTCCAACCCCCTCTCCCCCCTCCCCTTTCCGTGCACGCAAGCAGCAACTGCAGGCGGCGAATCTGGGCGACAGTGGGTTTCTGATCATCCGGCACGGGCACGCCATATTCAAGTCGCCCTCGCAGCAGCACGACTTCAACTTCCCCTTCCAGCTCGGCAGCGAGGGCGGCGACTCGCCTCTCTCCGCTGATGTGAGCCACTGTTTTGCTGCACACCACTCGTGGCCTGCGAATTCTGCATGCTTTTTAGTCGCTTCAGAACGAGTCCGTACTTGCTCTCTACCTCTCCCTTCCACTCTGGTTCATGCTCAATGTTAAAATCTCACCATCTCTTCTCTCCCGTTTGTCATTCCCCTGCTGCCCACCTGCAGGTCTACTCTCTCCCGGTGGCCCCAGGAGACGTGGTGGTGATGGGAACGGACGGGCTCTTCGACAATGTGTTCGACAACGAGGTCTCCTCCCTCGTCTCCCATGCGCTCCTCCGCGGCCTCTCCCCCCAGTCCACCGCCGAGCACCTCGCTGCCCTGGCCCGCGACCGCGCCCTCGACCGCTTCCGCTTGTCTCCGTTTGCACGCGCGGCGCAGGAGGCGGGGTATCGGTACATTGGGGGCAAGCTGGATGACATCACTGTTGTGGTGTCGTATGTGACTGAGGGGAAATAGAGCCCATGGTGCCTGTCTCTTGCACTCACATGGTATGGCATGTGCACGTGGAGCAGGGGGGAGGTTGGGACTTGGGAGGGTGGTGGGTAGGAGGAGGAGGCCTGCAGGGGAAGCAGGCCGTGTTGCTTGTAGGTATGTCTGTGTTGCTAGTAGGTATGTGGATATATCGTACGTGCATGGCTACTGTTTTTATCTTCAGTAAAGTCCAGAGTCACCTCCCCCACTCTTATCCACTCCACCAGTATCCCCATCCGAACCCATCACCGGTATTACTCAAGGCTGGAAACAGTGAGCGCCAATTTTGTAAGCAGTGCCCTGCCCTGTCCTCCTAATCAGTTCTCCACACACACCGCATCTGACATGTTCAGTTCACCCTCCGCAAGGCCATATTCCAACCATCATAGTGATGTACAGTACTCCTTTTCCCTATTCAAGCTGGACAGCTGGCAGATACTACACTAGTTTCACAACGGAGATGCCCTTGATTGATCACAGACAGCCTCAATGGAGCTAAGAACCAATCACAGCTAACGTGCCAGTACTTGCTACATGGAAGGCTGCAATCCTGAGACTGCAATCCGGAGATACCATAACTTGTTTGACTAAGCATCCTTAATTAAGATTTTGGCTACCTTAGCAACAACCATATCCACGTCACCCACAAGGCTAGGATCCTGGTAGATGGCTATGACAATATTAGCAAATGTTTTGTGGATGCAGCAACCACCAACAGGGCCCGTGCTAGGATTTGGGGCACCCTGAGGCCTCAGGGCACCTTTCCAGAATCGTAAAAAATGCCCTGATTTGTCAGGGCAAATTTTCGAAGCCTTCCTGTATGTTCAGGGCTTTTTCAGAAATCAATCCTGACCTGTCAGAACAAAAAACCCTGTGTTCAGGGTTTAGATTGGTTGGTTGACAGAGTTTAAGGTGAAAAATGTATACGCCTGCACGGGGGTGGGTTAGATCCCAGGACCACATCTATCGAAAGTACCATTCATCCTGACGCTACAAGGAAGAACACTACAGCCATTCTGAATGTTCAGGGCATTTCATATAACAACATCCTGAGACCTCAGGGTAAAAATTTACACTATTCTGAAATGACAGGGTAAATTCAAAACTGCATCCTGAATTCAGGGTAATCAGGATGTTTTGCCCTGATAACGTGGGGCCTGACCACCAAGTCTCCTGTTCTGCAAACAAATATGCAAAAAAACGCCAGTCCTTATCGACATAAAAAAGGAGCAGAAAACAAACAAATCAAATCTACAGCAAGGTCTTGTAGTAGTATCCTTACATCCTCTCGCTTGTTTCGTCCACGAATGACAAAGCCAGGTACATTCTGAATCACCACGAACCTTTCGCTACCCAACCACAACCCGTTCGCCGCAAACACATTCACGTCGTTGAACCCGTCCATGATCGCTCTAATCTGGTCGTCAGTAACCTGCAAAAAGTGGCCGGCATTGAACTTGCATCAGACATGACCACATGCGTAATAAAACTCACATGACAATCATTCCGCTGGGAGTTGGCATCGCGAAAATGGGAAGTTCGAAAAGCAACTCCAAATACACTCTTCCGCAACTTTCCCGATATTTTTTGCCCGGCATTTTTGAGTCAAGGTTTTAAAACTGCATACCGACCGTCACTTACCAAGCAACTTCCCAGTCACTCTTCCGTCACTAACTGTACATATTGGGGCAACTGACCAAGTATACAGTAAAGCAACATTTCCGTCAACTTTGAGCAACCTGTGCGAAAGTGTCATGACGACGCCACGTGGCGTACGCCGTACTCTAGATGAAACTCAGCGTATGCTGACGTGGCCGTCGTCATACTCCAGCGTAAACCGTCAGATTAGATTCTAATTGACGCACGTAATCATGCCATGTGGACCAATCGGAGCATGCAATTTGGTGTACAGTGGAAAATTACTATTAGTGGCGATTTCAACAAAATGGTATACTGTTCTGATTGTTTATTTTTATTATTGTATAATATGTATTCACAACGCATACACATAATTGTACACTGATTTTCTACACCTACATGTCAAACTTATATGATCTAGCCTGTGTAGGCTGTAGCGGGTTAGATACTAAGGGGTACACAATTCTAGGGTTTCATATTTGTATCACTTTCATTCCTTAGTCAATCCATTCTCGTTCTAAGTTTCTCATGGTATCGAGCAGGTTCCCCAGTGGGAACTGTCCTAGGGCCCACCAAGATCGAATTTTTTTTTGCCCGGGGCGCGTGTTGTCCCCTGCCCGAGGCGCGCCTAGTCGAGCCCTCCTGAGCGGCCCCGTCGCGCCGCCCTTAGCGGCCCCGTCGCCGCCCCTTCCGGCCCCGTCGCCGTCCTTCCGCGGCCCTGTCGCCGCCTCCCCCTTTCAGCGGCCCCGTCGCCGCCCTTTCAGCGGCCCCGTCGCCGCCCTTTCAGCGGCCCTGTCGCCGCCCTTTCAGCGGCCCCGTCGCCGCCCTCTCAGCGGCCCCGTCGCCGCCCTTTCAGCGGCCCCGTCGCCGCCCTTTGAGCGGCCCCGTAGCCGCCCTCTCAGCGGCCCCGTCGCCGCCCTTTCAGCGGCCCCGTCGCCGCCTCTTAGCGGCTTCGTCGCCGCCCATCAGCGGCCCCGTCGCCGCCCTTCAGCGGCCCCGTCGCCGCCCCTTTTCATCGGCCTTGTCGCCGCCCCTTTCGGCGGCCTCGTCGCCGCCCTTCAGCGGCCCCGTCGCCGCTCCTTCGCGGCAGCGACGCCGCCCTTCACGGCCCCGCGGAGCCGCCTTCGCTGCCGAGCCGCTGAGCCGCCGAGCCGCCTTTGCCGCCGAGTCGCCGAGCCGCCGAGCCGCCTTTGCCGCCGACCCGCCGAGCCCCCGAGCCGCTGAGCCGCCGAGCCGCCTTTGCCGCCGAGCCGCCGAGCCGCCGAGCCGCCGGGCCGCCGCAGCCGAGACGCTGCCGTCACTGCAGTAGCGGCCCTGTCCCTGCCGGCCTGCCCCGGACCGCCTCACTTGCCTGGTAAGCGCAGCGCCTCTGCCACTGCACTGCCCTACCCCGCTATACTCACTGCGTGTCTGCTGCTGTCATGGCCACCCCCAGTGTTCTCACCTTTGACGCTGAGGGTCGGGCTGTTGACTTTGAGGTCTGGGTAGATGATCTGCAGCTTTTCCTACAGTGCGATAGGGCAGACGGTCTCTCCCTGTTTGACCTCACTTCTGGTGCCTCTCCTGCCCCTGCTGCTGATGCTGACGCCACTGTTCGCTCACAGTGGGCCACGCGCGATGCTGCTGCCCGCCTAGCTGTGCGCCGCCACTTACCGACCGCTGAGCGCGCGCATTTTAGTCAGTACAAGAGTGCTAAGACCTTGTACGACGCTGTAGTTGCACGCTACTCTTCCCCTGCCACTGCTGCTCTTAGCCGCCTCATACTGCCGTTCCTCTTCCCTGACCTCGCCGCTTTTCCCACAGTCGCTGACCTCATTACACACCTTCGCACTAGTGACATTCACTACCGCACTGCGCTTCCTGCTGAGTTCTGCGCCAAGAACCCCCCTCCTATGTACATCACCCTTTACTACATAGTCACCCGGCTCCCTGACACCCTTCGCTCGGTCAGGGACCACTTCCTCTCTGTTTGCCCCACCACTCTCACCGTTGACCTCCTCGAGGAGCGCCTCCTAGCAGCAGAGAAGAGTATAGTCGCTGTAGGAGCCTCTCGTGGTGACCCTCGTACCCCTGTCTTTGAGGGGTGCTCCCCCTCCCCCCTCTTGCCCTCTGTTGCCTCTGCTGCTGCGGCCGACCTCGTTGGTCTTGAGTCGGTCGGCGCGGCGTCTGCCCCTAGCGGGAGACGCCGCTCAGGCAAGGGCAAGGGGGGCAAGGGCGCTGGAGGAGCTGGAGGGGGCGGTGGAGGCGGCGGTGGAGGCGGAGGAGGGGGTGGGGGTGGCGGTGGGAGTGGTGGCGGGGGTGGGGGCGCTAGTGGCGGCAGTGGAGGCGGAGGAGGCGGCGGTGGTGGCGGTGCGGGCGGAGGTGGCGGAGGTGGAGGCGGTGGTGGAGGTAGCGGCGGCGGAGGTGGAGCTGGTCGGTGCGGCGCTACGCAGAGGGTCGGCTCCGGTGGTGGTCAGCGCCAGCAGCAGCAGCAGCAGCAGCGCACTCGTGAGACCCCTTCCCCCCAGCAGCTTCGTGAGTGGTACACTGCTCGTCAGCGGGGTTGGGGTGCTGGCCCCTGTACCTACGTTCTACGTACCGGCGACCGCGCGGGTGAGCAGTGTGGGGGTCCGCACTCCACCCAGCGCTGCTTCGGCCGCCTGACGGACGCTTGGCGTCATCAGTTCCCTGACGCTACTGAGATCCCTCGCTGGGGCGAGCTGTTTAGGGCGGGTGTTCCGATCTTTGATCTTGACTATAATGCTATTCTTGCTGCCATGTATGCTGTGACTATTAGTGATGAGGGTGACTGTTACTGGTGTTTTCCGCCTGACCCGGGCATTGAGGCTGCTGCTCTAGGTGCTGGTGAGGCTGCTGCTCTAGGTGCCAGTGAGCCTGCTGCCCCAGGTGCTGGTGAGTCTGCGCTCTCAGGTACCGCGTCGTCTCCGGCCACCCACACCTTCACCCTTGACTCGGGTGCTTCCCGCTCCTTTTTTCGAGACCGCACCACGCTTACGCCGCTTAGTCGGCCAGTGGCAGTCTCCCTGGCAGACCCCTCTGGGGGTCCTGTCCTTGCCCACTTCTCCACTGTTCTACCGTGTCCGGCGGCCCCTTCTGGCACCCTGTCGGGTCTTTACCTCCCCTCGTTCTCTACGAACTTGGTGAGTGGTGCTGACCTCCAGGATGGAGGGGTTCACCAGTTCACTCCTGCGAGTCAGCGAGTGACCCACTGTACCTGTGCTCGGACGGGCCGTCACTTGGCCACGTTTACCCGTCAGCCGGGGTCGAGCCTGTACACACTGACTACTGAGTCTCCTCCGGTCGCTGAGTCTGCTCAGGTAGCAGCGTCGGGTCAGGTGTTTGCTGCG